CAGCAAGGAAGCCGCCGGCAACGTCGGTCGGCGACACCCTCGAGAGTTACATCGGCGGCAACTGCGTGCTCCAGCTTCTACAAGCGTTCTTCGTCTCCTTCGCTTGGTGTTTCGATGCGCAGCAGACGTTCATCAACGTCTTCACGGACGCAGAGCCCGCGTGGCACTGCACCGGCACCGACGACGCCGCGTGCGCCACGGCTTCCAGCCCCTGCGGCCTTGCTCCCGGCTCCTGGGCCTGGGACCTCCCCATGCACGCCTCGGTGGTGTCGGAGTGGAGCCTTCAGTGCTCGGGCCCGGCCGTCGTCGGCCTGCCTGCCTCGTCCTACTTCGCCGGCTGCCTCGCCGGGGGGTTGCTGCTCGCGACGCTCGCGGACTCCGTGCTCGGCCGGAAGAACATGCTCTTCCTCTCCTGCCTCACCATGTCTCTCTCCGCCACCCTGACGGTGGTGTCCCCTAACCTGTGGGCCTACTCGGCCTTGAGATTTCTCTGCGGGTTCGGTCGGGCCACAGTCGGCACCTCCTCCCTCGTCCTGTCGACCGAGCTCGTCGGCAAGAGATGGCGGGAAAAGATAAGCATCGTCGGCTTCTTTTGCTTCACCATGGGATTCTTATCCTTGCCCGCCATGGCCTACATCAACCGTGGATCATCTTGGAGGGCGCTCTATCTGTGGACCTCTGTTCCTTCCGCCTGCTACTCCGTTCTCCTCTTCTTCCTGATCAAAGAATCCCCGAGGTGGCTCCTGGTGCGCGGCCGGCGGGATGAGGCCATTCAGACGCTCAAGAGCATTGCATCGACGAACGACGACGTGATCAACTCAAGCTTCTCGAAACTGATCGTTGCAGAAGATACAGGGATTGTGGACATCTTCTCGGCGATGAAGATCCTCTGGCAGAAAAAGTGGGCGTTACGGCGGCTTATGGCGACCATGATAGCCGGATTCGGGATCGGCATGGTCTACTACGGGATGCCACTGAACGTGGGGAACTTGGGATCCAACCTCTATCTGAGCGTCACATTCAACGCGTTGGCCGAGCTGCCCTCGTCGCTGATCACCCTCTTCCTCATCGGCAAGCTGAACCGGCGGTGCTCAACGGTCACGTTCACCACGATGGGCGGGGCGTTCAGCGTGCTGTGCGTGCTCGTGACCTCCAAGCTGTGGCAGATGGCGTCGGAGGTGGTCTCCTTCTTCAGCGCCTGCACCGCCTTCAACGTCCTGCTGATCTACACCATCGAGCTGTTCCCGACGTGCGTGAGGAACTCAGCGATATCGATGGTCAGACAGGCGCTCGTCCTCGGCGGGGTCTTCGCCCCCGTGCTGGTGGCCGAGGGGCGGAAGCGGAGCTTCCTGTCGTTCGGCGTGTTCGGGTTCGTCATCGGCTGCTGCGGCCTGTTCATTGTCAGCCTGCCGGAGACCAGAGGGAGAAGCATATGCGACACCATGGAGGAAGAAGAAGTGAAGCAGAACGCATCGTCGGACACTCCCTGAGTGTGTGCATCCATTAGGTCGGCTCATATGGTTTCTTCTTTAGATCGATGAAGTGATTCCAAGCATCCACGACCAGCCTTGATCTTATTTAGTGTGTGGTTTCTATGTAGTGGATCGTCGCGGTTCGACTGTAGCAGGTTCTGTGAACGCTGGTTGGGCTTGGTTTGTGCATCACCGCGTGACATCGAGCCATTCCGGACATGAAATGTGAGTGATTGGCCAAACTGAAGATGGCTAATTATATTATTTAATATGATAATTGGCACTAACGTGTTGCTTTTAAATGCCACGTGTGTAATCCTGAATCGAAACAAAACATTCCGGTGAATGAGAAGGTTCAGAACCGCAAGTGTCCAAATCAAGTTGTATACCTCTGAGCCACGTGTGTTAGATTTTATGGCTTAATATAGTTAGGCAAAAAATATATTATAGATCTGATTAAATTTTAATCTTAATCTTTATTAATTAATAAAAAAGTTTAATTATGATAAAAAAAATTAGGAGATAAATTTGATAATAGACACTCCTAATTATCTTTTTAAACTCTTTGTTCTCATCTATTATAAAAGGATACGATCTCGGGAGAAGACGAGTCTAGTTATCATTGCATATCGGTATGACTTTAGTTTTCGAATTTGACAATAGATAAATATTTTTTTGAATGGTATCTATCAGAAGGTATGTAATCTTTATCTTATCTATTGCTATTTGATTTCGATTCTATATTAATTTTTTTCATATAACAATAGCATAATTATAGTGTTTTGTGTTTAGGAATCAAATACCTTATATCATAAAATCTATTTTGTATATAGATTTATTTATTAGCACTCTTAAGTAGCGAAATGGTGTTATTCGGTTTTGATTGTAAGATGCTTAAACGATCCATAAGTGTTATCGATTTGCTTTACTAACTCGTTGATCATATCGTATGCTTATGAGTGATATGAGGTTTCTTATTTTTAATCAATGGACTATCGTCGACAACTTGCTATTAATGATAGAATTATTGAGGACGATGACTTTCGATGGTCGTCAACCCTATCGTAGGCAACAACTATGTACAAGTGCTGCTGTACGTGACGAAAGTGCGATGGGATGCAATAGTCGACGACGATCACATGCATGATTGCTTGTGTGTCGCAACCCTATAACAACCAACCTGCATTGGTCGCAGGCAACAACACATACAGTAGTGCCACTACTTATGACGGCTGAGACACTATCTTTGACAAGTGGTTGTAACAATATCATTGTGGTGGTGTTTACTGGTCATGATTAGCATCAACTAGATGCTGAAGGTCATGGTTCCCAATAGTTGTGTGGCAGACAAGAACAACACAATCACACAGTGTGATAACCATTGGGGTTGGTCGATGAGCCATGGCCATGGATGTGTTCCATTAGTGAGAAAACTCGTGCACAGTGAGAATAGCCACATGTGGGTGCAACGGCATGATACGACGACTGGTGGGGTCATCGATTAATAACGAGAGAACTATTACACCACGACGACCATAGGAGGCACACTGGTGGCGGTTACATACATTGCGCAGCATTAGTTGAGAAGAGAAGAAGAAGAAAAAAAAAAAAGATTTCATCCATTAAAATTATAGTTTTGCACTTATAAATCTTTTTAATTTAATTATGTGTCCTTTTGATAGTTCTACCCTTCACAAATCATATATTTCTATTGTATATCGTGAGAAAAAGTATAATTTTACCCTTCAAAAATTAAATTTTTTTCTTATGTCTTTAATCATATAATTAACTAATTTAATTTATTTTAATTATATATTTTGATCGGAATTGATCATGATTGTATTTTGATTGCTTGACTGGATTTAGATTTGATCAATAATGTTTTGACCAAATTCAAAAAAAAATCAAATTTTGATCAATTTTTTTTTACTTTAGTCAACATTAATTTTGATTAATCTAATTAGGTCAATGTTTAGAATAATTTTAAACTTACCTAATTAAATAAGATTGACTAATCTAATTTAAGGTTCCATACGAAATTAAAAAAATATAAATTATGATTTTTTTATAATTTTCTTATATGACATATTGATAAAATTTTTGTATGTGATAATTAAATTTTAATTATTGTTCTCAGATATTTGTTTAGTTATTTACATGTTTATGTTTAAAACTATAAAATAATTTTTATTTTAACATAAAATTATTATTTATATTTTATTATGATTGTAGTTATCATATGATTTTTTTTTCTTTTATACTAATTAATACTAATGATTATCATGGTTATTATTTTATTATTATTAAATTATTTCTATATAAATTAGATTAAAATATATTTAGTGAATATTAGTTATAATTTATATTCTTATATTTTATCTGACTAGTAATTGCAACTAGTATTATATGCTTATGAAATATAAATTATAATAAATATTTTATCATTTATAATGTATACATATTATAGTTGAATGTGATAATCGAAATATCTTAACAAGATAAATTATAAAGATCGTTATGGACTACATTAGAAAAAACTAATAGTATTATTGTATATAAAAGGAAGTATAACATACAACCGTTGTGGCTCACATTGGTAGTTAGACTTAATATAGTATTATTATACTTATTGACTTATTTTTAAAATCCATATATATAATAGATTTTTTTAAAAAAAATTAAATCTAATTAAGTAAAATTATTTTTAAAGAAAGTTTTATTTTATTTATTTTAATTTTAAATTTCTTTTATATCTTACTAATTAATGGGTCAAGTGAGAGAATATTATATTATATAACCTTATTTAATTAAGTAAGATATATTATATATTTGAATGGATTCTAAATATGATTATCAATTAATAAAAAAAATATCTAATTATAATAAAATTTCTTAGAAAATGACCTTTGGGAGGAATTCTTTTAATTATCATCCTAAATCATTTGCTCTCGCTTATAAAAGGGTATGATCTTCCTTAATTCATATTTCATCGCTCATAGTGATCTTCTGAAAGATAGAAAAAAAAGGATAATACCAGTTTAATTATCCTTACATATTGATATTACTACAACCTTTGGATCTGATCGACTGTATATTTGTAAATTAGATAAATATTTTTAAAATAACATCGAAAGATATACGATCTTCATATTAATCTATTTTTTTTTTTTTTTGATTATGATATTAAAAATTTTCACATAATAATAACACAATTATAATTTTTCATACTAACAACATATTCCTATCAAAACCATATTCTATTAGCTAGGTATTAATTGAATCTCTTTAGGAATGTTTAAGTAAATTATTAAATATGTTATAAGTTTTTATTGGTTGACAAAGAAAATTTCAGCTTGCCATTTTCTTGAACTAAATTGTATTGAAAAGACTCGACAAATTATTTCACATCATCTTGTTATAAATCTTCCACACGTAGAATGATACCAAAGCAGCCATTCTTTGCGTCTATGTACTATCAACCCCCGGTCTTTATCTGTACCGCATGCAAAGTACTCTTCTCTCGTCTTCCCTTCCTCCTCCGCTTCTCCTCAAACCCTGATACTTCCCAAGACAGGAACTCGGAGATGGATCACGGCGGGATGAGCGAGACGGGCATGAACGCCTCCTCCATGACCGAGACGCACTACACCCACATGACCTTCTTCTGGGGCAAGAACTCGGAGATCCTCTTCACGGGCTGGCCCGGCACCAGGGGCGGCATGTACGCCCTCGCTCTCGTCGTCGTCTTCGCCTTCTCCTTCCTCCTCGAGTGGCTCCACCACTGCCGCCTCGTCAGGCCGGGAGCCGGCCGCATCGCCACGGGTCTCGCCCAGACGGCGCTACACGCGCTGCGCGTCGGCCTCGCCTACCTCGTGATGCTCGCGGTCATGTCGTTCAACGGCGGCGTGCTGATCGTCGCCGTCGCCGGGCACGCCCTCGGGTTCCTGCTCTTCGGCAGCGCGGCGTGTCGGAAGACGCCGCTGCAGCCGGCTTGCGCCGGCAAGGGCGATCTTCCGCCTATGGCTTGCTGATCGTTTTACGTGTGGTGTGAGTTTGAAGTCTCGTGTGAAGTCTTGCATCCTAATAAGCCTTACTTGTATAAGCTGTGACAGAAGGCATTTGAATTCATCTATCAGAAGTCTCTTTGTAACCATCATGCATTTGTGATGAAGAAGAATGGTTGGTGGCTTGTGACCAATCAAGACTGCAACAACATTCTTGCGTGATTCTGAAATAACACAGGCTATTATATTTTGTTGAAATCTGTAAATATTGCGATTGCTTTAGAATTAAACATTTTGCTACTGTTTGCCTGAAAATAAAACAAAAGGATGCTAATCTCACTTTGCTTCACAGTAGATTCATTCCTAACATGGATGGATTATGTTCCATGTCCTGTAGTCCAATCAAGAGAAGTAGTCAATGTCACTTTCGAGATGATTCTATCACTCACTTTTTAGCTTTAACTGCGTATCGAACAAGCCAGGTTTTGTCTCTGGATTGCTTTTTGGTTTGTTAGAAGCTTTTCTTTGGCTTAAAGTGAACTCAATGATCGAACACTTTTTAAAAGATTACACACCATGCATGATCTCTAAACCTCCATGCAAAAATACTACATTTCAAGAACCAACCAGTAAGCTTGTTTAACAAAAAGCTAGCAGACTAACCTATCTGGACCAATTACGTGACTCTCTGTTTCAGGTTCCAGTGAATGCTTCTGCCTGTAGAATACTTCTCATCAACATTGAAGTATACTCTTCCTACCATATCCATCAACACCAGAATCAAAGAGCTGACTTCAAGCCTCTCTAACATTACAGACGGTCTGAATCATGCCGATGGGTTGGTCAACTCCTTTAAGCACATCAACATGAATATAAACAAATGAAGTCAACTTGATACAAATGTGTACTACCAGTTATATCTACATGGGAAGTACGACCAAGTATCTACTCACAGGTCTAAACCTGCTTTCGTGCATGATATAGAATCACCATCACAGTCGCAGCATCTCACATGGAGAGGGCACAACATTGTGCTGATACTTGCAGCTTCTCATCCCATAAAGCCTAGATTGCCATGGTCAGTAGTTACCACAACACAACCATAATAATTTTATGCAACCTCTCGACAAAGAACAATGTTGAAGAACACATCAATTGAATTCAGAGTTTTGCTCAGAGATTCACCTTCATAAGCAATATAGTAGCACAAAGATTGACTATGTAAATATTGATATATACAACAATAACAAGTTGTAATATTCCAACAATTTGAGGCCAATAATATGGATTTTTTTCAGTCATTGAGCTTTGTGTAGATCAATATCTGTAGATTTGATGATTCAAGTACATTGAAGGAGTAGTTTATGACTTATCTTGAAAAATAAAGAGAAAAGCGATGCTTTGCCACAGATTCTAGTTCATCGCATGTGATGCCTGAAAGAGAAAGGCAAATGCAATCCAGTTCAAATTGTCATCTGGGGGCATGAATACTAAGACATAGCATGATCGTGAAGGAGCAACTAACCTTAATGTTTCCTTTGTTCCTCGTCGGACTTTACAGCGAATTGTTGGGAGACCGAGGCGCTGATGAGCCTCGAAACGGTGACATCCAGAAAAACCTACAAACAGATTATCTCTTTTAGATATGCTGGAGTTATAGGAAGATCAGTATATCTCTTGGTAGTATGTGTACCATAGTAAACTCCATCCACCTCCAGCACATCAATCTGCAAGTTTTCATGAATTCGATAAGCGAGCATTTAAGCATATGTGATAGTTGAATTATTTGTCTACAAAAACTGAAAGAAAATTGAACAAGAGGATTCATTTTGTGTAAAGCACCATCTGACATTGGATCAATATCTGTGCATTGAACATTCAGAAACTAGATGATTCATCTTACCATTCCAAGGAGAATTGTCACACTATATAGCTCCAAAATCCAAAGGAGGTTGATCCAATTTGCAAGTTCATTTATTCTTTGGAATCTTAAACCAAACATCACTAGGAACTTCATAATCATTTTAACAACCATAATGTTACAATCTTTTTAGAAGTATATATAAATTGGATATAAAGGGCCACGAGAAGGAAATTTCTTTTACAAATCTAAGCCTACTGAATATGATTGTGCAAGCAACAAACCTATGCTGAGTTGTGTTAGCGTTTATAGCTGACAAACTTTGGAGTTGAACATATTGTTGTGTCAACATCATAGCACATTCTTGAAAAATATAGGACTATTCGTGATAACGACCACGTTTGCCCCTTAAGAAATTTTCAGGATGCCACATATATGGAATCTACATATTGAATTATAGTAGACCACCTTTGCCTTACGTATGGAATCTTCAAAGTAATGCTAGCTATTTGCCATTTGTCAGTATATGCATCTCACCCAAAAAGAGGCTCTTGTCCTTAATGGATCATTTCATCTACTAAATTCTTTTTTTAGATTAAATATTTTTTTATTTTTTCTTCCCATCCTTTCTGAAGATTTTTGAAAGAATGAGCCAAACTCAAAAAACTTTTAATCAAATATAGGTCTGTCTCAGATTATTTATATTGAAATGCATACACGGATATGTAAATTTATCTATATATACTTATGTATACGGAAATATATGCATATGTCCATATATGTAATAGATATATATGAGACACCACTTGAACTGGGGTTACATAGCTATTTTCCTTATCACCCATGCTAGCGCTAATTTCATTCATCACTCGGCTGAATTCTTTGGCATATAATCACAAGGGATTACAAATTCCTAACGACATTGTCACAAGCATATTGTAATCATGAATCAGAAACTATTTTATAAAAGCTGTATTGTAGATAAAAGTTATAAGATCTACAAAAGGTTGTGCTAGCACAATGATACGAAAATTTTGACATTTGCATTTCGTTTATGAAGTACAACATCATAAGGTATTGGTTCGCACCCAAAATTTTGGAGCACTATTAACTACTTTTTACAGCCATTCTTTTATATCTAGAATTTTCCCCACTAGAACCATATGCTAACAATCAATCATAGGATGATTCCTGATTCCATGTTATTTTAGAGCCATTTTTTTTCGTTTGGGACCATTGAACCTCTTTTGTCCACAAATTGGGTAAACCTTGATGGCGTCTTATGTTCAGTCCAGGAAGTTACTGGAACCCACTATAGAGAAAATGATGCTACAAGAGCATAGGTCAAGATTGTATAAAAACTTCTTATGATAAACACTTTCTATTTTGAAACTTGGGACCTTAACAAACAAGAAGAATCCTCTATGCTTCAAGAGACATCACTAGCATAGAAATTCAGACCTCATGTATGGCGTCATACAAATCTTGGAGAAAAGTAATTGAGCTGTCCATCCACTTCATTTTTAATCTCTCTTTTAGTTTTCCACTCAAAGTCCTGTTTGATTAGATTAAATATACTCAAATGTAAATCCCCCAAAAAACTAGATTATTTAGTAATAAGTTATAAGCAACACTATATCCTCTCCTAAACCGAAATCAAATTCACCGTTTTCTTGCTTGAGGAAACATAAAATCCTGGACCAGATGCATTCACACTTGCACCCTTCCAACCAGCTTCGCCTATTTTTAATAACAGTTTCATATTTCTGTTTAACTTTTTCTTTGTAGAGGATACTAATTTGCAAAAGATCAAATGCACTTCTATTAAATTTATACCCCAAGGAGGAGAAAGCTACCACAAATAATTTTTAGTCTGATTGCTTGGTATGTCCTATCATATCGATCTCCTAAATCCTTGCAAACAAAATCAAGGCCATTCTACCTGAGGTCATTAATGGCAGTCAAAACAGTTTTTATCATAAAAGTCTCATCCTGAAGTATCACATGGGTGTAAATAATGTCCTAAATAGCGACATAAGAATGATAAACACGGAGCCATTCTTAAGCTTGATTTTGGAAAGAGATTTCATGTTATTGAGTGGGAAAACCTTATTGGACATCCTAAAACATCCAGATTTTGGACTTAAATGGATGATCTGGGTCAAACACATGATCTGTGATGCTATAAAATCATATCCTGACTATTAATTTCATAGTAGGCACATCAAGGGTATGCTCGAATGGATCTTTAAGCATGAAGTAGCAACCATTGCATCAAAGGATTGATTCAAAAGTAATGAAGCGTCCAAAATTTCCAGTATGCTAATGGCATAGTATTTACTATTCAGGATAAACAGATACGGCATAAATGGTTAGGCTCAAGGTACTCCAAACTGGACTAAAGATAAACTAAGCCAAAAGGACTTTTTTCTACAGTGATTCCAACTTCACCAAAGGTGAAATGATTGCAAAGATCATCGGTAGCACCACACAAAGCCTATCATTCAAGCATCTCGGCCTTCTACTTCATATCATCAGATGACGACAAACAAAATGTGTTAGGATTAGTAAGTATTTTAGAAGTACTAATTAGATGCGAACTTCTTAGAGGATTAGGATTCGGACTAGGAATTCAAGTAGGAGAAAGAGTCATTAATGAATTAAGGTTTATTGATATAAATACGCTATGTATCTAAAGACCGAGAGGGAAAAACATAGAGAAAACAATTTGAGTGTCTCGGGATTTTCTCTAGTGGATATAGGAGATTGAGATAAACGTGATGATGTACAAGAGATCCAAGGATTGGATTTGGGTTAACTCAAGACACATATTTCTTATATTTATTTTTCTCATATAGTAAAGAATTTGATTTTGTTGGGACTTACTGTTTTATTATCGTTGTAGTAGTAGTAAAGAATTTGATTTTCTCAGTGTATGTAGGTCTAGAGTGTCGAGCCATATAAATATTTTGATAGCTTTATGATTATTTATTTATTTATTGGTATCTGAGATTTCTATTTTGGTTCCGAAGTCTTCTCTCCCCCAACAAAATGGCTATATCTACAAGTTGAATTCAGTCTAGACCTTTGGAAAGTAAAGCAACTTAGAGGTTCCTTATATGCTTTACCAATTTGCATCACGTAGCAAAAGAACAACAATTGATAATCCTAAAACAGTGCTTTTGAAGAAATATATATCTATAAGAACCGAAGGAAGTTTCCTTACAGGTTCCTGGAGCCCAATTTGTCTAATGCTCTCCATGAGCTCCTTCACCTTTTCGGGGTCGTTCGCCCGCGTCCGCATCAGCGGCCGCCGAATCTTGTTAAGAGGTAGCTCCAGAATCGCCGGTCCTCCAGATTTAGGCTTCGAGAATGGAACCCCTGAAATGAAATCCATACAGGAGCACGCTTAAAAGAAAAAGAACGGTTCACAAGAAGCGAAACAATAGACAACGCTCTCGATCAAAGGAGCTGCAAGGGCAGAGAGGGAACCATTGGAGGAAGCTCTAATCGGACGCGAGGTGTAGCTGCAGAGGGCGGTATGGGCAAGCGAGACTAGGTTCGCCATTTTTGGTTCTCTACTCCTCACATCACACGAAAGAAGGAATTAGACGGGCTCGAGGAACTCGAAGCCCCCAAAAGAGCGATACTTTCACTAAATTTGAGCCCAAAGATCTACCCACAAGCTTATTGGATGGATAGTACGGATCATTGTGAGCCCCGATGTACACCATCTACATTCTTCAAGGTAAATGGACGAGTACGTTCTGGTAAGTGACACGTTTGCTTTTAACCGTTTCATATTGATGGTCGTCCTTTTGGGGACGAAACCCTTTTACCCACTTGTTCGAGACGATCTACCCGCGATTTTATTGGATGAGGTATGTGGGTCAGAGCTTTGCCCATCGAAGTTGTAGACGGGGTGGCGAAAAATAATTCCGAGGGCGTAAATGGACGGTTCTGTTGGACTCCGGTTTGGTAGTCTTGGCGGCATCAACGGTTCACACCGGTTCATCTTTTATGGTTCGGCCGCGAATGCGTGCGGCGATTGACTACTCCTTGAAGGAGATATCTTCCACATCGAATCGACATCTAGATCGATTTAGGTGATGCCACCTCTGCTGTCGCGTTTGAAGAGATTAAGGCGAGCCGCAACATCCGACGGTGGGTTGCGGCCGCGCACGCGGGACGTGGTCGCAATCTACTCCGCTTTTCCCTATTCCGCTGGCGACCCGCATCCTGTGTCGCGCTCCGCCGCCCCTGAAATGCCACTGCCCCGCCGAGCACGTCGCCTCCTTTCCCCCGCAACAGTAAGCCGCACACGGGTCCACACTGCAAAACATGTGGGCCGCAGCTGCTTCGCCCCCGTTACCTCCTTTATGAACCTCACAAGTCGGCGACACCCGCACCGGCTTCCGCAGACAACAGCTCGTTGTCTTCCAGCTTCCGCCAATTCCACCATCTCAACAAGACAACCTGTCGTTGTCTTCTGCTTGCTTTCTGCTGGCCCATGAATGCTTGGTCCGACCTCCCGATGGAGCTTCTCGGCTCCATCCTCGAACGCCTCCCCGTTGCAGACCGAATCCGCTTCGCCGCCGTCTGCTCCTCTTGGCGCTCCGCCTCCGGCGCCCACCTCGGCTGCCCGCCCCCGCCACAGTCCCCCTGGCTCATGCTCCCCTTCAACCCCACCTTCACCCCCACCGGCTCCGCCGCCGCCTTCTTCAGCCTCGCTGACCGCAAGGCCTACAGGCTCCCCCTCCCCGACCCGCCCGTCTCCGACCGCCTCGTCGTCGGCTCCTCCCACGGTTGGCTCGTCACCGCCGACGCAGACTCCGAGCTCCAGCTCCTGAACCCATTGATGGGAGAGCAAGTCCGGCTCCCTTCCATCACCACCTTCCCCTTCGTCGACGCCGTCCGTGACGAGCGCGGCCGTGTCACCCGCTACTCACTCTGCTTCGGGGACGACATCCCGCCCGAGCCGTTCGAGCCGGACAGGCTGAGGTACTTCTTCTACGAGAAAGCCGTCCTCTCCTCACCTCCGTCTCGCTCCTCTTGCTCCTCTTCTTGGGGAGGCTACACCGTGATGCTAATTCACAACCCCCTGTTCGGGCTGGCCTTTGCGAGGGCCGGCGACGAGTCGTGGACGGTCATCGACACCCCGTCGCTATACTGGGTAGACGCCATCTGTTCTTCCAGCGGGCAGTTCCTGACGCTGGAGTCCATGGGCAGGGTCGAAACTTGGGAGCTGGACGGCGGACCCCTCCCCGCTTCCACCCTGGTCGCCCCCAGGTTGGGCATCCACGACTGCTCCAAGTACCTGGTGGAGCTGCCGCGGGGGCAGCTGTTGCAGGTCTACCGATGGAAGGACCCGGTGCAGTCCAATTGCAAGTGGGAGCCTCGCCCGCTCTACGTGGAGTGCGTCACTACCAGGGTGAAGGTGTTCAGGTTGAAGGTAGACGATGCCAAGGGATGCGTCTGGGTTGAGAACGAGGGCGAGAATTTGCAGGAATTCGCGTTGTTCTTGGGGAAGAACAGCTCGATGTGCGTCAAGGTGAGGGAGTGCCCTGAGCTGAGAGGGAACTGCATCTATCTCACGGACGATGGGTCGTGGTCGTATGAGAAGTGCCATGAAGTGGTTCCAGATGTGGGGGTGTTCGACCTGAAGGAGAAGAGCCTCAAGCCTTGTGGTGGCTATAATTTCCAGTGGATATGGCCTCCTCCCGCTTGGGTAATTCCCACTGTGACCTAAAAAGAACATGATTAAGCAGTACCTTTATATTTCTTTCTTATGCAATTGGAAGTGTGACTGCAAGTTCAAGTGCGATTGGAAGGATTCCAAAATCATGTTCTGGTTGTTGATCTTCATCGCCGAGAACATGTCGACAGTTCCTGTATCTTCTGCACCGACGTTGTGTCGCCGGTGAGGCAATGGAGATCATGAGTCACATACTCCATACCCTTCCTTTCACATCAAGCTTTAGCTGAATACAATGTGGGATCATTGTAACCAATCATAGTAGCCATAAGATACAGGTGTTTTGACCTCTATTTGCAATGAATATAATGGATGGTATTTTATAATTGTAATTGATAGATAATAATGAAATCAGTAAATTATGTTATTATTTTTATTAGGTGCTTTTACATATACCTCTCTTAAAACAACGTATTTTTCTTATAGAATGTAGCATATATGTTTATCTAAATATTAAGATCCTTATAGCTACCAATAATTTATTTGAGTTTAAAATCTATATATGAATATAAAATATCTAAAATACTTTTAATCTAAATCAAGTAATAAAGAGATTAATAAACATAACATAATATAAATATATGATAAAAACATAGTTATCAGAATCAAATCGGAGATAAAAATTTAAAAATAGAATAAATTTATGTATTATGTTAAATAAACACTAAAAAAACATACAAATAATATAAATTTAAAAAAATTTATTATAAATTTGTTAAATAAAATAGCATAATATAAAACTAACAAAAACGTCAACAAAAACTATAATTACTAACAAACATGGTCAATTCTTAGATGAAAATACGAGATTACCACAAGCCATTATTTGACCGTTCATACGTTACCCGTTTCTCTACCTACTCTCTTAGTGGAAACTTTCTGTGGGACTTACCTACGGTGCCATTGCTAATAGCAATGGCAAAGTGGGTAACGACGGTGGGAAGTCACAAAAGGGGATAATATGTTTTCAGGTACCTAAGTTGCTTACATCATCAGCCGTCGATCAAAACCGCTGTGTTTATCATCTTCCTCTTTTGGATGGGCACTCTCGACTCGCGAAGCTTCGTCCCACTTTCTCGCCTTCGCCATTCCCCCTCTTCGTTCCAGCCCCGCTAGAAGCCCTACACATTTCCGATTCCGACGCATATATCCTCGCCATGAATTCGAAGCCACAAATTGGCCGTGTTCTCATGAAGAATTTCGCTCTTTCGCCCAGAGGTAAGGCGATGATCCCTCATGGATCACGCACCATGGTGTGTTTCATCTGCTACCTGATCATGTTCCCGCTTGATTCTTTCATTAGGTTGTCCTTCATGAACGATCATCCGAGTTAGCGATCGTGCGCATAGTGGGATAGTGTTAAGTGAGGAGGTTTTGAATTCCTGAAGCCGTTGGATTCTTCTGCGTAGGGGAGGGGATATGTCGAGTGGAGAAGTCAGGAAGGTCTCCCGTCAGGATATACAACTGGTAAGGAAGCTATTCTTGATTTTGTTCATCTTCTAATATGGGGTTCTCGGTTTCCTGTTATCTTAGTTTGTAGCTGTTAATGCTTATTCGAGCATTATTTGGTTATACGGTATTTAAATTGCTCCATCTGAAGAATAATCCTAATTTTATAACCTGGTGCTATGTGAACTGCGGTTTCATTTAAACAGCAGATTATTGATTGTGTGCTGAAGTACTGCTTTTCATCGCATTCTTCTTATCGTCTGAATTATAATTGTGTTAGGTCAGATGACTTGATGTAAGACGAACATAAAATGTGTGTGTTTCACCTTTGGTTTGTTATTGTACTAAATTTCGACGCAATGTTTCAGTTTAAATTATTTTTTCATTTGTGGATTGAAGGAGCTCTCAAATACTTAGGATTAGTGAATCCATCAACAGTAATTAACATTTGGGGCAGAACTTTGTATCCGCTGTCTCTGGACTAGTACAGTAGACTAGGGCGAAACACTTCTTTGGTATTAGCAGCCAAGCACTCGAGTCCTTTAAGACCATGTAAACTTGATAAAGCTTAAGATATATGATTGCAGTCAATTTGTCTTGATGGTTCAGCATTGTTATATCTTTTTAAAGCCATACAAGTTTGGAGCTTCGAGGGATTGTTTGGTGCGAACAAGTGGTCTATGTAAAAAGATCCTTTTGAGTTGCTTGTTGTATTTTTATTGAATGTGTTGTTGGACATGGTACTCATAAGATAATGGTAGGAAATATGTGGGATACTTCTCAAACTATCCTGATATTGTTAAAAATGATACTCTTAAGATATCTGGAGATGCTTTAGGATACTTCTTCAGAGAACTACGTTTCTAAAATGTTGATCTTTTGACTCTAGGCCAGAGTGTGAAAGAGAATGTGTTGTCAGTTTGCTCTTGTTGGCGTGTGTTCGGAGTTTATATTGGTAGAAAAACACATATCACATACCCTTGTTCAATGTTACACATGCTTTGGAATGCTAAATACCAAGTTGTTCTCTATTTTTTTTTCCCATTAAAAAATCTGTATTAATGTTGAACTAAAGCACAAAAGATCTAAGAGATCATCAGTGTCTCATATTCTTGGTTATGCTACATGTTTCATGTGGAATTTGCTATTATCTATTCATGCTTGACTCACTATGTTGGAATTTGACTGCCTCGAGCAATATTTGCTATTATCTGGGGCCAGGAACATGTCTTGCTAATATACTGTGGTTGATGTAAAAAGGTTATTTTAACCAAGCCTTGGCTGTGCTCCATCTCTCCGAGCAGCACTGACATCACGACTTCTAATTAATGCCTCTCATCATATCGGTGCACTAGCATATCTTCTCCAGAAACATTCAAAACCACCATTAACCTGAGATTCTGAATAGAATTTTATGCTTCTCTATTAATCATCACCAGCAAATGTGATTTTGCTGGACTGCTATGATGCCATATGTGACTCTTATCCATCTTTTCTAGTGTTAGTTCATATACTTGATGCCCAAATGCATGAGTGTCATAATCTTTTAACTTTGTTTTGTTGGTTTTTTAAGTTCGTGTTGCATTTCTTCTTTTCTGTTTTTAAGATGATAAGGGCATTTAGCTCCTTATAGAAATATCTGCTTTAATTACAAAAGGAATGACAACATACCCTTTTAAGGGTTATTATGCTAGATAATCTATTGCCTGTTTATTTTTTACTGAAACAGGGACATAATATTCTTTCCAATGTTTTTATAAATTTTCAGGTTCAGAATCTTATTGAAAGGTGCCTGCAGCTGTATATGAACCAGAAAGAAGTAGTTGACACTTTGTCTTTCCAGGCAAAGATAGAGCCTAGTTTCACTGAACTTGGTAATTTCACAGCATATCATCTCTATCTATTGACATTCACCACGTTGATAATTTCTTATTAAATCATCTTTATCTAATCCAAATTCTTTAATGTGGATTCAAAACAATATATTGAATATACAAGTATGCCGTAGAAGTCAGTTGACTGACCCACAAGCAATCCAATATATATTGACATTTTATGTCCATGCAGACTTATCATACATATGCTCATAAGACATTAATTTACATTCTACATGTCTCATGATTTTATATTAAGATCGGTGTTTCTAATATTTAAATCTTGTAAAGTTGCATGATTGTGTATTAGATTGCCCTTTTGGCTCTTGTTGGATGCATTAAGCTCTAAGCTTCTCTCCTTTTTATTGCTCATGTTAACTACATCAACAAGAAAATCATGAAATGAGTTGAATATATATCTCTAGACATTTCAGGTGCATTAGATCACACTCAATGTTGCTTATTTTTCATTAAAGTTCTACTTTATTCAGGGTTAGAAAAAACCAGTCATACTGACCAGTATTTACTGGTTGACTGCCTACTCTGCTTTCTCCTCCGCTTCTCTTTTTATCCTTCGCCTTCTCTTCCTCCTGCTCTTCCCCCCTTCTTTCCCTCTTTCTTTTTGGTCCTTGCTGACTGGTTCACTGATATAATCCTGTGTCTATGTGTTGGTATCTATAAGAAGCATACCGAGGACCGGTATGGGACTCAAATTGAAACTTGAAACTGTGACTATTTCTCTTGATTGGAATATATCTAGAGTAGAATGTTGAAAAAATTGTACCGACTCAATGATATATACCAAAAATGGTGGCATGTGAATATATGTTTCTTGGAAGACTATAATTTTGCATGCATAGCAAGATGCCAATATGGTTGAATCAAGGTTTTAAATACTGATATTGGACCAGTACGGTACTAAGATAATGAGCAGCATACCAGGAGGGTTATAGTTATACCACCTCATATCACTGGATGACATGATAAAGAAAATGTATAGCAAGATTTTTGAGTTATACGCTCCATTTTATATCGTGGGTCAATATTTTATAGTTTATGCCATGGGTCAATAAGTTGACTGATTCTTGTTAGGACCAATCTACAATCTTTGAACAAGAAGTAGAAATTTGGATGCTTAACAGAAAACCATGACCATTGTTAGGGGGTTGGATGTGGCTGCAGAAAAACTAATCAGATTAACTGCAACAGTTAGTTGTAATATTATATTTTCTGATTTTTCATTGTATTGCAATTCTTTTCTTTCAATGCAAGGAAACTTTTAAGTCGTATAATATAATTCTGCATGCTGATCGCATTTCATCATACAGATTTTTAACCGCGAACTAATGGAATAAATTCTCATGACTTTGAAACTGCTTATTTTGATGAGTCTTTTTTTTTTTTTTTTGACATTGTTAGTTGATAGCACATTTGATGCATTTGCATGCTGGTATATGCTAGTATCTCTTAATCTTATATGACTAGATTAATATGCCTAATCAGAATTAACTAATTTATGAAGTGACCACTATGTTATACGTGTTCTGTAGATATTCCTCAAAATTTGCATACCAAACTGCTGGTAAGAAGAATTTTGAAATTACACCCAGGAAGCCTATGGATCTGTATTCAAAAATCTTATTTACATTTTATTCAAATTTTAATAGTTATTCCTTCTAATGATTGTCATCTTTGGTTGTTTTACAGTTTGGCAAAAACTTGAGGAGGAGAACCGGGAATTTTTCAAAGCATATCATATTAGACTGATCCTTAAAAACCAAATACTGCTTTTTAATAAGCTCCTTGAGAAACAGGTTGAGCTTATGCAGAAAGCATGTCCATCTGGAGTTGCTATCTTACCAATTCCAAATGCCTCCCATTCTCCTTGTATGTGCATTTTAAAATTTTGCTGCCATTACCTTCATTTTATTATTGTCCTTCAATTCTATTAATTATTGTCTGGATTTTGCTTATATTTCATAGGTATCATCGCTATATGCAATTAGATTATATAACTTTTTAAATACATGTTGAAAGCCAATATGTAACTTTAATAACATACTTTGTAACCTCGAGGCCTAGAAAACAATTTGATACTAGGTAAAATGGTACTGTTTATAATAATATTTAGGAAAAAGAATTATTTTATGCAGTGTTTTTAAAAACATTATGCGCTAGGTTCCCAAAACGCTCGAGACACTAGGCGCCTACCTAAGTGAAGCGAGACGCTCCCAAATATTAAAAATAATATATATATATATATATATATATATATATATATATATATATATATATATATATATATATATATATATATATATATATATATATATACTGTTATGTTCTAAGCAATGTTTTAAAAGGGTGTGAAATTTGAGGTGGGTGATAACTGCCAAGTAGTGTTTTTTAACCATCGTTATATTCTAAGCATCGTTTTCATATTAATGTGATGTTCCTACCTAGATGAACTATCTCTTAAAAGTGCACCACCTCAAGTTGGTGTAGCAACTTAATCGATGAAAGACTATTCCTTATAAAATGAGAAAGAGAGGATTGAGGAGATGGAGAAGTAACCGACAAGGCTGTGGAGGAAGGTGGGCGATGAAGGTTTAGCGGCAAACTAAGTTGCAGATGGTGGCAGACGAGTGATAGGGTTTCTTTTGTTGCGTCTGGCATGTGTTTTAGTTGAACCTAGGCTCGAAGTTGACCCGAGTTGGCTCGGGCGCATGCCCAGGTGAAGCTTTATTGAAATGTCTTGTCCTGAGGTGTTGAAAGGCGCTCAGGTCTCTCTTCATCCGAGCATCTTTTGAAAACACTGATTTTATGAACATATATCGATATGAATAGCAAAATATCCATTACCAGATTGGAATTTGATGTAGATTTCCATCTGTTGTTAGTTATATTTGTATCTTCCAAAACAGAATAGATATTGCAGTAGACATTTATTTTACTAGCAAAATATGTTTGTGGTCATTACTCTATGAATAATCTTTTATTGCACCAACTCACTCATTAATAGCATATCCCAGATAGTGCTGACCAACCAGATTTATTGGTTGGTTACCTTCTCCATCTTGAATGGGTACTATGGTCCAGTAATATGGAGGTTTATGACCCACTATATGACCCATCAAATTGTCTAGGTGGGAGATTACCCTCGTAATTTTTCCCAAAACAAATATAAGATATGACCCTTCCATCAGCATGTTCTCCATTATGAGGAAAAGGACCTCCCAAGGAAGAACAAAAGAGAATGAGGGACTATCTAATCTAGTCTGATTTATTAGTTATATCAAGTAGGATAATCAATCTTGAGTATAGTCTCTGGGACTTACAGTCTCATATATTTATTAGACTTTTAAGAAGCCTTGTGGAGGAATTCTGTTTTTTTGTTGAGAAATCTTGTTACTTCATAAAATTATATCTAAAAATACCTCTGGAAGTTTCAAAACAACTCCTAGTAGCCTAATGTCTTATTTAATGCTATTTATTAGTATCACCGTAAGTAGAACAATGAAACTCTAAAACAACATTTAGAAAAACAAGATAAAATGAAAAGAAAATATGGACCAAAATCATTAGAAAATAGAAAATCCAACTGAAAGATCCTTGTCTAGTGTTAGTCAAGGTGGGGCCTTTATGACAAGGGCTGGGGATTAGTTCTGTAATTCTCATAATCTGTCTTTTCTTCTGTGCACGCTGAGGTAGTGTGCATATTCACAATCATGGCTTTAAAATTGATGAAATCATCTTTGGTGCATAAATTATCAAATCCAAGTCTACAAAGTGGTTCATATAGGGATGAAATCGACAAATCAATGTCTTTTTTGTGTAGTTGGTCTAATGAAAATATTTCAACTGTTGAAGATATTTTAGTGAGATGCCGATACAGTTGAACAAAATGCTGTTTTAAAGGCTATTCTTCACTAAGCTAAAATTTTCATCATACTTGAGAATTCTTCAGATTGATCTAGGGGTTGTTGGGGGCTTCAGGATATAATTAAGAGCAAGGAGAAGGTAGATGAATGGGCATTGATGCTTGTTTGAATGATGCAGAAAGGGCAGTTTGCTGATTGAGCAAATCGATTGAAGATTATTGCATGGTAGCAATGATGCATCAGGCTATCTTGAGCTTCTCAAGCTGCTCGTTGATTTTTCCAATTAATTGAGTCTGCTTTATGATGTTCCATGTATCTCTTCTAGGTATGTATTCTTCATCAATTTGGGCTACTCTAGAAGATGTTGGCGTCATGAATTGTCATTGGTCATTGGAATTGCCTCACTATGAGATGCAGGTTAGCGGACAGGTGCTACAATAAAGACTGATGGAGGAATGGAGTAGAGGTGTTATCATAGCAAAGAGGTGCCTTGAAAAATTGTGTTGCCATTGTCATAGAAAACAGTGATTTCAATAGGCGCTCGGGCGCTCGCCTAGGCGCTCGGGTGAGGCGAGGCAAGGCCCGAGCGCCTTGCTTCAAAGAGGCGCCGCGTCGCCGGGGCACTCGCCCGAGCCCGGGCGCCGAGCGCTTTGGGCGAGCACCTAGGTTAAACTAGGTGACCGAACCAGATTTTTAGGCCTGGTTGGTCTCCTATGCTTTAGTTGGTTCAATCGAACCAACTAAATCACCGATATCAGGCTCCCTCTCGCAATTTCCCTGACTTCCCTAACATTACACACCATTGACATTTTTGTTAGTATAATACCTTTCCTCCAAAACTTTTAAATCCAAAGATTTATACCTGAGGTTTTTTCTTTGTTTGTGATCTTCTTCCTTTCATGAATGTTGATCTGTCTACCAATCCATTTTGAAAAGTTTTCAGTAATTCATCATCCAAACTTTTACATTTTAAAGCAGTTGGCTCTTCAAACTCTTCAAATTACATCTTGAAAGTACTTGTCTGATGAATGAAACAAGATTATTTAGTAGAAGAATAAGATTGAAACTTCATCATGGTCTGAAGAATTACAAGGGAATTAATGATTTAGGGTGGGTTTGGAAGTGAAATTAGGTTTTGCAAAAAATAAGGACCAAAAAGGACAAGAAGATTATTTTTTAAACTGTGTGTGTGAACTAATATGCATGTACCAGATATTTTAGAATATGAAAGATCCTACCTCACATACTTTGGACTTTGGAGTTTAAACAGCAACCATGTACACTGAGTGTATGATAATACTCATGTATCAAGTTTCCATAGTGAATCTTATCCAATATTCATATCCATAGCCATCGTTATTCCAGATAGCAAACGCTGATTCAAATATGAACATGTGACAATAACTATCCAACTCGATTTAATACAAACGTGATTTCTAAAAGATGACTAATGCTACATAGTGGCATGAGAAACAAGTGCAATGCGGCTGTGTATAAGGGGATCATATACAGAACAGAAGTTAGATTATAATCTGACTTGAAGAGATTTTTCTATCCTCTTTCAAAATTTACATAATTTGTTAAATCATTTGGTTTTGTTGATGAGTATCGAACCATCAGTGTCATGATATTATATTCCTATAGATATATCTTACTGCTATCACCTGTTCCAGTGCTTCAAACTCCATCATGCTATATGTCTCAACATGCGTCCACATCTTCACGGCCAGATGGCATGTTTTATAATGGAGATTTTTCAAGTGATCTTGTAAATGGTAGGTCATCAGAACATCAGGGGAACTATCTTGAAAGTGATTCATCAATTGTTGCTGGAATTATGCATGCTTCGACAATTGTGTTATCTGCACATAACTCCAACATGGGAAGGATTTCTGGACTGAGTGAGACAATAATAAAGTCAGAGCCTAACTATCTAAACAATTCTGAGTTTCCATTCGTTAGTGATAACATCATCTTGGAAGCACACCGACCAATTGGAGATGCTTCAGGTGGATCCTTTAGTAACTCAGAATTGACTGGACAACCGGCAAACAGCACTCTCCCGGATGTTGATACACCTTCGCTTGGATTTAGTCAGATTCCCCGAAATTTCAGCTTTTCAGATTTATCAGATGACTTTACTCACTGTGCTGGTCTGTTTCAGTCACCTGACTTCTAAGTGCAATCTTTTTGCCCTTTTTTGTGCTTTGTTTTTCTAAAGGTATATATTAATGTTGTATTCTTTTGTTCAAAGATATACTAGAGAATTATGATAAATCTCCTTATCTTCCACCTGATTCAAATAACTTTCTGGACTCTCCAGCAACAGAATTTAAAGGTATTACTTTGCTGTTCTTTTATCTGTCTCTTTGCCATATTTATTGAATTTTTCCATGTTGAATTGAGATTTCTATATTTTTCTTACACTTGTTTAGACGACACTAGGAAACTAGACACTATATCTGAAGGGGTTAGTTATGATGGCTTACGAAGTGACTGACCGAACATATAATGTGTTTTCCTCCAAGGTAACTTTCTACAGCCTTCATTTTTTTCATCTCCTTTTCTTCTCTCTTTTTTCTCTCAAAGAGTAGAGACAAAAAAGAGGGACTTTTATCACATCAATACTGCATGAAGCTTCAGGTAACTGCCTATGGTTTCATATTCTCTATCGTGTAAACCATTGCAAATTTGTGGCGGTTCCCCTGTTAAGAAACAAAATTTATTTATATTGAGTGTATGGGACAAGCATCTGACTTTTCTGTGATTGATTATATAGGATTGCACAATGCTGTACTCTTAAGTCGCAAATTATTATATCGTGGCTATATCTTCCCGTTCATGCTTGATTACATCATTTTAAATGACACTACGAATGTTGTTAGCGGTACCCTCTTTTCTCTCATATGCATTATTGTGTGGTCCTATCAGATATACTGTTTCTCACAACATGCAAGCACATCTTATGGAAACAGTGAATTATTTAGAGTCCATGTATAATTAGGTCCTTCCCACGAGGATATATATTTAATCTAATGCTATTTGCTGATGTGACTATGATCATGGGATGACGACCGGAGCTATACTGTATTTTAGTTCTTACACATTTGTCAAATTCTGCTGTAGGTTGACTGGGCATCTGTATATACGGGATTGACAGGCTCCTTATTCTTCAAATTTCAGTGGATCCTTCTCAAGTAGTTTACTTCACACGTTTTGCACAGTCGCTAATGTTTTCTGCCATTGGAACTTTCTGTAATGATATTTGTAGTTGAGCAACAAGTTAATTTGTTTCATACACATCATGCTATCGATGCATTGTTCTGGTCCATAAGGGAGGCACTCTGATGTTGTCTTTGCATTGCGAAAGACCTGGGTGTTAATTTCCGTGTGACAACTTATGTGTGTCCTGTTTGTTTTATTTAAAATGCTCTATAAATCTCTGTAACACTGCTGCCACAGGGAAAAATTGCCAGAAAGAACAAGGCTGGTAGTCTCAGACTGGAAGACACTGGTATCACTACTGCATAAATCTCTGTAACCAGCCCTATTTGAGTAATCATCGCTTCTGACTTAGATTATTGTTTCTCATTCTTACCTACATTTCTAGCAAAATTGAAATTTGGATGAATGGTTAAATTTCCATTGGTTGATGCAATTTCATCGAGATATATTGGTCCTTCAGCTTTTACATTATTTTTTTCTGTATAATTGCCAACATGATGTCTTGACAGAAAATTCTATCTGTACTTTGTGTCTGCTTCATCCAATGACAGTAAAATTCTGGGGAAGATGGAATCCGAACTAGATCAACTCGAGCCGGTTTTTGCGGAAGTTGGAATTGGAACTAGATTGACTCGAGGTGGTTTTGGTTTCAGTTAGTTAACTGTTGGTTCGATAGTTCTGGTTCCTAATTGGAATTGATTGTTTTTTATTTTTTGTTTTTTTATTAATATTTAATATTGAAATTTTAATTTCCATCAAAGTTTATGTAAAACCAAATAAATTTTTATTACCTTCCGTTTGTTCATTTGTTCTGATTTGATTCAATCATCAATAAATGGATCTCAATTGGTTTAGGAGTTATACATGAATTGGTTTCATCCAATATATATCAAAAAAAAAATTAAGACAGACCAAAAGAAATGATTAAGATTGGAGTTCGAGCGATCACTTGGGTCCTTTGTCCTTATAACAATAATTATTGTCCTCTATTAATTCGATCACATTCATCAACTTAATTCATAAATTAAGAATTGGGGTCAGATCGCCTATTATAAATGATACTATAATGATCATATTAGTTAATGAATTGTTTTTCTAATGTTTCTCATTTTTCACTAATATCAATGTTTAAATATAAATAATCAGAAGTACCCAATTAATCGTGTAAACTATCTACGAATATAAAAAATGGAAACAAACAAGATAAATAGGTAGAATAAATTTAAAATAGTTAAGTTTCATATTCTTCATTACCCTAATAGTCAATTTAAAATAGGGAGATAAATAAACAGGTAGAATTATTTATTTTAAACATTTTAAAATAAATAGGTAATCTTCGTTACCTTAATAGTTAACTTCAACTCATTATGCAGCGATGAAAATATTGCTCGACAATTGCATTGGTGCTAATGCAAATGTAGAGTAACCCTTTTGTCGCTTGGCAACTCTTAACGTCGACGCAGTTGCCAAGCGATGAAAAGGCCACTCATTATGTTAGTGTCAACGAAAGCACTAATATAGATGTCGAGTAGTCATTTCGTTGCTCGACAACTGTATCTACGATGATGTAGTAAGCGATTCTTTCGTTGCTTTCTATTTATGTCAGCATTGATGCAGTTGTCGAGCGATGCAACTTTACATCTACGTCGATGTCGACGTACTTGCCGAGCGGTGTCACTCTGCGTCTGCATCTGTATCAACGTAGTTGCCAAGCAACAAAAGGGTCGCTCAGCATTTGCATCGAATCGGTGCCGATGTAGTTGCTGAGCAACACTGCTCTATATCTGCGTCAATGTCGATGCAAATGTTAAGCGGCTCTTTCGCCACTTAGCAACTACATCAACTCGTCTCTTATCGTAGCTTTTCTCATCTACAGAAGCCACTCGTGGCCCCAACAATATTGCCATCCATCACCAATGACGTTGTTTGTCACCACCAACTAAAATGTTGAAAATATCATGTTGTCCATTATTTTCGTATTTCCGTCAGTAAAATTAATAACGTTAGGGTAAATAGATTTAGACATTTCACTTTCATAACTATAGGGATTTCAATATAAATTTTTTAATTCTAGGGACCAAGATACTAATGAGGTCTAACCATATGAGGTAATATGTAATTAGTCGCTCGAAAGACCAAATTAATTTTAGCTTTTTAAAAAAAAAATTGAATAATGCGTGGGTGAGAAGTCAAGGAACATGTTTCCAAGGAAGATTTAAATTATTTTGATAATAATAAACTAAACATAATTTTTTTTACCAAAATTGAAAGGGAGATATTCGATGGAAACAAATTTTACTAATTACTTTGTTTTTTAACAGAAAAATAAAATATTTAAAAAGTGTTAGTTGTGTATCCGAAATTAGAGATTTAAAATTATCTTTTCAAAAATTTATATTTTATATTTTATAATATTAAAGTTATGAAAACATCCTTTCTACCTTATTTTCAATAACAAATAGTTCAATAACAATAAATCATGCTCCACTTGGAAGTTGTCAACGAATAGCATTCCCCATCACGAACAATAAATCAAGTACAAAGGAGTCTCAAGCAGCGAGGAAATCGAATTTGCATCTAAAACATTTCCGAGTTCAATAATCAGTAACAAGAATTATCTATAAAGACTTCTTGTATCCTAATGCCTACTTACTAGGTCAGCTGGCTTAATGTTTGCACTTCCAAAAAACAGAAATCAATTTGACAGGGAGGAATTCAGTCTGCCCATGGAGCAATCACGCTCACACAACAAGAATAGAAAAGAATGGAACAAGTGGTGTAAAACCCTGAATCATGTGAGCTCCAACCTATCTGGAAATTTACTATACAGTTGCCAATATGCAGGGGTATCAGCGAACAACTAATTGAGAAGATCAACAAGTTACGTAGGCCGCCGAGGAGATTGATTTGGCTTGGTTCTTTCGATGACAAAATGATCGACCACCCTCACTGAGTTGATGGGTTCTGGGCCTGAGGCAGCTTTCCATTTGCTAGGAAACCGCCTGTGATGGCTGAGTTGCTGCGGCAGTCTCACTTCTGCATCCCATTCAGGATCCAGCTTCCAACTTTTCGGAACCTAATAATCCAAAATATGGTCATATGTCATTCTGAAATGCACATTGGATGGTGGCTCTTCATGCCCATCTAGAAAATAGGGAATTGAAATAATTTCTTTAGGAACATATAGAAGTATGCTAACTGCAGATATGGTAATGTGGAATGTAACCAAAATTTGATTATAATAAAGAACTATTCAGAGCGTGGTAATCTCATAGGGAAGAAAAGTCTCATGAGAACACCGATGTAAAATGCTTGCGATGAATCTTTATCATCATCTAGCTAGAAACACTAGTTGCAACTGCAGGCCCACTACATGCTGCAATACGCAGATAATGCAAATTTTGATATGATAGAAAAGATCTCTTGGAAAGCAGAAATCAGATGTCCAGAATCTTACTATCTTGACCTGAACACACCATAAATTACTTTCTCAAAAAATCTGAGAGGTAATTTCCTTTTTTATATTTCGATGTTTTATTCTTTTGTGTGTGTTGGTTGAGTTTAGCAAAAGTAATTTAAGAATCAAGGCAAGATTTGATCCCAGGACTTCCTACACTAGATATTTTTATTACCATAGCTAGCCAACACCTTCATTCTATGTTATATGAGAGCCTGATTTAAATACCTTGTCAACTGCAAGGGTGAAGACCTCAAGATCGCCATCAACAGTAATGTGAAAGCGGGTGAATGCCTTGTAATTTGCTATCCGAAGTGAAGAAAAGGCTTCATCAAAGTGTATGTGGAACCAATTGATACAGATGTACAAATAGCTCCCAAATATAAGAGATACGACGGGAGTTGAAAATACCCAGAAATAAAGGAACACAGAAGCATAGTAGATGATGGCACTGCCACGGGACAAGGATTCCATACCACTATTGCATATGTTACCTCTAGTGACAGCCATAACCTGTAAAAATGGACAGCAAAATTATAATGATGAAGCATGAAAGGTGCCCTAGTAAATAATTGATATTACCTCCGGAATATCAAAGGCAGACATAAGGTACTTTATGCATGCAGGATACAAACCAAATGTCCATTTCTCCATGCGAGCACGAAGTCCAGTGGGATCTGGAAAGTGCTCAATTTCCATAGCCCGATACCATTCATAAAGTGTGTGATAACCTACAAGAAGGATGTTCAGAAAAGCCGATAGTTAAATAGACAACTCAAAGAATTGCATTACATGTCATTTCTCTCATCCTACATCGGCTGCCTGATTACGTGAATGGTTATTATGATAGAGACCACTATGAACACTGATTTTGAGAGCTTGCCAAAATTACCATAGTTAATCTTTAGGCAGAGAAATAATTAATAACTATGTTTTATTTGTAATAACAGCATTCAGGAACATTATATTTTGCAATCTGAAGGCCATAATGAATGTACTGAAAGGAGCAAGTGCTTCCGTCTGGCAACTGGTTACAACTTGTAGATCTTCAAATCACCACGCATTAATTTATAGGCCACTGTTTTTATAACAATATGGCTTCCCATCAACACTATGTTCATTTCATATATACACTTAATTTTTGTCAATCAAATGATTTATATATGGATGATGCTACTCGCAAAGAAAAGGAAAGAATATTTTGGCACCTGAAGTCGCTAGAAGATTATTACGAATACATATCTCGATTCCCAACTCTAACAGCAACATTAGGATAAATGAAGCAACCATATGTGCAAGAACATGAAGAACCCCAATTAGAGCACGTCTCTTTCGTGACAATTTTGAAGGAACAAATGAATATGATGACATTATCAATACCAAAGTTCCTGCTGAAGAGACATATGAATATTGCAACATGTAAACAAAAGCATTGCACAGTGTAGTCAAGAAGCTTTTCAGGCGACCCAGCCAAGAATCTTCCTGCAAGATCCGGATGACATTACACTGCAATGTGAAACATTGAACGATGAGTTCAAAAGATCTCATGTAGCTACTATGTTGATATGGTCAGTAGAAAATGCTGAATCTGGAAAATACAACTGCAAAGAACTATACATATAAATAGACTAGAAGATCATGTGATGAATACGGATATATCATTCATAGCTCTCCAAAATTTCTTCAGGAACCTCACAACATAAGATTTTCTAAAACCTGTTTAAGAATTTTGCATACTTGCATTTGGTACATGGAACTAAATAAACCTGACTAGATTTAACTTTCTACGATAGGCATATAACTGTGCAACCACAACTTTTTAATGTTTCATCATAACTTTTTTTCAGGTTACCTGCCACAGTGTGGGATGAGCTTAGATGTCAAAATATATTAGTGACATATAGTCCTGTATCTTTAATCACTAACAAGTTGCTATAAATTTTAGAAAGATAGTCTATGGTACAAAAAGAAATATTTTAATTCCAAGTCCAAGAAAAATAATCATAAACTATTATGAGCATACCAACTGCTAGATATTATTGAAATTACATGAAGCTGAACTGACTAAAGAAACAAATATTTGATGACAACTACTCATTATGAAATTCGAATTGTTGATTTCTTCACTCAAGTATACCGACTATCTGCTGAGATGATGAAACTGATGGTACTTTGTAGAGTAAAACATGTTCTGATTATTCAACAGAAATGGAAGACTAATTATTTTCATGCTGTTGATCACCATAAATTCAGTATCTGCACCAAGCATCTTCCATTAAGAAGATAAATCACTTGGTCATATTGCTTGTTCAAATGCCGTAAGATAATTTTTAAAGAAAGTCGCACATGTCTTAAAGATGCCGCTGTCTCATTAAAGATGCCACTATCTCATTCGGTGTACAGGTTACTTTATGCAATCAACAGAGACCTAGTTGTGTGAAATATGCTGTTTGGAATAACAATGATAACAAGATTCACAATTCAATATTGCTCAAATTAAAAAAAAAAAGTGAGACAACAACACCTGTGGGAACATGGAGAAGACCAATACGAAATAGATAACACCACCAATTATATCAAATTGCCAATTCTTCTTGCGGAATTTTAAAATGTTACCCAGTGCTATCTGAAAACAGATAGTCAAGTAAATCACACAATACAGTTCCAAAGAAATAACATAATGTTAAAAAAAGACTGCAGCACAACAAGAGGCAACATACTGGCAAAGTGGCAATTGTATAAGGAGGGCAAGGTTGAAATTCTTTTGACAAAATAAATGTAAAAGCTAAAAGAAAATTTTTGTTTTACCTTACTGGAATCATCGAAAGATGGGTATGTAGCCTTGCTGTCATACGCTGCACCATGAAATTTGCTGAAATTTTTAAAAACATGTGTAGGATGCAAAAAGGCCCCACCACAACCATTTACAAGAAGGTGTTGCACATGAACAGGCTTCTCTGATGGCACGACAGAATGGCGCATGTAATGATGCAAGTCTCCTGCTATTCGAAGTTTACATCTTCCCTTCAGGTAGTCGCATATTAAATGAGAAGCATTATTCCCAGTAGTCTCATTCCAGTACCAATCAAGGAGCCAATTTGGTTCATGTGTCATGACAATAACAGAGTCATTCTCACCAATCTATGGAGACCTTGGCAGAAATAGAAGATCAAAAATAATAAATCAACTTTAATATGCAGAAAATTTTTCATGTTCATAAAACAAATTATAGAAAGATCTTAAAGCAGCACTTCATCAGGAACACAATAGGCAAATTTGTAATATGGTTTTTGTTTGCATGATACAAAGAGGTTAAGCAATTATAAAACTATTCAAGGTGACTTCAGCATGTCTAAAGAAATCATTAAATGTATCAGTAAAAAGAGGAACAAATCTATAACACCCTGATTAGTCCCATATCGGAAGTGGGTAAGATTAAGATTGGCTTATAAGGGTCTAATGAGTATACTATTATCAACTTCAGCTTAAACAATTTGGTCAGTGGTTAAGGCCAAACAAAGTTGATAGGCCAGTTAGCCCATCAGAATCGAGTTGTGACATTTGATATCAAAGTCGACCTAATATTTGGGTATAGTGAGGGAGCTCGAGTAGAAAAGGGCTATCCATGGATGGAGTCAGAGGACTCGTTACGACGTAGAGCCACCATTGGGCTGCACCTCACATACTTCATGCTAGGGTTTGATATGGGATGTTGGGCTTGACGAGGACGTCAAGTTCTTGAGTGGGGGAGATTGTAACACCCCAATTAGTACTATAAAAAGTGGGTAAGATTAAGATTGGCTTATAAGGGTCTGATGAGTGTACTACTATCAATTTCAGTTTGAGCAGTAGTTTAAGCTAAACAAAGTTGGCCAATTAGCCCATCAAGTCCGGGTCATGACATTTGATGTCAGAGCCGATTAGGTATGGTAAGGGAATCAAATAGGAAAGGGCTACCGGTGGATCGATTCAGATGACTCATCACAATGTGGAGCCGCTATTGGGCTACGCCTCACATGCGCCATGATAAGATTTGATCTGGGCTATGTTGGGCCTTAACGAGGACATCAAGCCCTTGAGTGGGGGAATTGTAACACCCTTGATTAGTCCCACATCGGAAATGGGCAAGACTAAGATTGGCTTATAAAGGTCTGATGAGTATACTACTATTAACCTCAGCTTAAGCATTTTGACCAGTGGTTTAGGCCAAACGAAATTGCTAGGCTAGTTAGCCCATCAGGCACAAGTCATGACATTTGGTATTAGAGCCAACCTGTATTTGAGCATGGTGAGGGGGCTCGAGTAAGAAAGGGCTACTCATGCATGGAGTCAGAGGGCTCACCACAGTATGGAGCCACCACTGGGCTACGCCTCACATGCACCATGCTAGGTCTTGATATAAGTTATATTGGGCCTTGACGGGAACATCAAACTCTTGAGTGAGAGAGATTATAATACCCTGATTAATCTCATATCGAAAGTGGGCAAGATTAAGATTGGCTTATAAGGGTTTGATGAGTATACTACTATCAACTTCAGCTAGCCTATCAGAGTTGATAAGCCAGTTAGCCTATCAGAGCCGAGTCATGACAAAATCAGCATAAAAACATATGCATATATGTATATAACTTAACTAGTACCATTGGACTAGCAGTTCCATGTTTAGTCCATTACACTACAGATAGCTTTCATTGGACTTGGCTGGTTGCAACCTAGATTAGATTAACTCCCAAGTCAAAATAGGAAAAATTTGTATATTTACACACCTAATAGTATGAGCCCAGGGACACAGGACAAAATGTAAGATTAAGGTAGCACATTATCCTCAGGTTTCCACCCACACAATCTCGTGTTTGTCATTGGTAGCTCTTGAGGTAGGAACAATGAGTAATTTCTTAAAACTAAAAAAATTGTTAGCTAACTAACTTCAATTGGAGTTTCTACAAGCAAATCATACATCAAACCCTTTAGTGATTTTATATAAACCATTAAGTCCCACATGTAAGATATCATAACAGAAATAACAACAATAAAAACTATACCATAGGTGAAAATTGGAAGAAAAATGCACCTTGTCTTTACACAGCTCTGCAAAAAACTTGAATTGGTACACATCAATGTCACAATGGAGAGCCAGATCAAGACCAAATATCCACCATCCCTTTGGAAGTTGCAAGGCAAAATAACTTTTCTTCTGAGGCAAAAGCCACCCACCCAACCAGCTCTTGTGACATATGTATCTCATGAAAGTATGCAGACCATCAAACCAGTCTGTAAAAAGAAATGTAAATCTAACATCAATTTTGGTGTCCCTTGGCAAGACGACATAGTGCTAAATAAGATGCATTTTTGGTAGCTAAATCAAAACCTCATGTGGAAATAAAATAACATTCCTATATGTTTTCTTATGAAATAACAAAATGCCAGATGTGAATGATGTTTAGCAATTTTTTTGGAACTCATGTGATATATGGTTTTATTTAAAAAGTACCATGATTTCCAGGAATTATGAAGCACTGAGGTCCATCATACTGATGCAAGTCTGTTATTCCAAAAGGAATCTCTGGCTTAATTAGTGCTATATGATCAGCCTTATACCAGGGTGGAGGCTGCAGAGCACTCTCGAATGGACAGAAAAAACGTTTCTCATATGTAAACATGGAAGGGTTAGGGTACCTGTACAATAACCAAATTAATTACACAAAGCTTGAAAAACTTAAAAAAATTCTTGAAAACTGAAACCATTAGTAGGATACATTCAGCCAATTAAGTGATCTACCTTTCAGCTTTTTTTTATCTCAGATACGGCTCTAATATTTACTCACTGGCATGAGAAATATTTATCGATGCAAATGTGACAATTATAAAGACAATAAGTATGGATACATTCTTGTTCTATCATGAAAAGTTGGACAACCAACATTCTATGTGCTTTTCATGCACAGAAAATGGATATATTTTCCAAATCAGAGAAATTAGCATCAAGCATCCACCTTAGCTCAACAGAATGATTATAACTTTGGATTCAGTATTGGTTTAATGCTTATAGTTTTTTACTCTACAATTGTGATAAACAAAAGGAAATTTTATGCACATCACTACATGCAATGTAGTTAAAAAAATCATACGCAACATCTCTCAAGATGAGTCTATTTACAGCAGCATGAAGCTTCCAAGTCTGAAGCAATGAGTGGCTCAAGTTTGATTATCACAATAGCACCAATCTTGGACTGAGGCTGCAATTTAAATCTTTTAACCATTAATTCTTATAATATTCTTCATCCATGGTATCATGACCAATAACAGTTTAACCACCGTTAAAACTGCATACTCAGGACCAAGAACATTGACATAAAAGCTGTTATTAATTTGTGTGGAATGGTGTGGGTGTACCACTAATTGTACTTAAAACTTAAAAGACAATAAAGGTGGCAATTATAACTAAAATAGAAAAGTTTTCCACTGTTAGTTTTTCTAACTTGACAATTCATTTCCATGCGGTGAAATGGTCCGCTTCATCTGCTACTCCCTTATACTCTGCAACTCGTGTATCATTTCTAGTTAAAAAAGTCACCCAGGACAATCGATGCAAAAGTTGTTGTTGCTGACTAACCTTAATTTTATTCATCACTGTGTAACACATCTATTATAGATGTTTTAACAGTCAGTTTTTAGCCACAGAAACTGATTTGTATTCAGCATCAGAAGTTAATTCGAGTCACTGAAGAAACACAAATCATTACAAGTATGAATAATATATCAATATTCAAAAAAACTTTGACACTTCTATTGCTTAACTTTTGAGGCCAATATCAGAACATAATGTTTGCCTATTGCTTTCAAGTAGAAAATCCTGCTACAATTCGAAGAGTGAAAATGAACAACATAAGTTTGGGTATTTGATATAGAATTTCTGACAGGCTTTCGGGGTTCATAATACTAAAGTCCTAATCTCTAAAATTTGTCTCCAGTTGATATTCAGATGGTTTCACTTAATAAGTGGATCTCTTCCAATAAATGGAAATTTTTTGACTTAAAGGTCATAAGACAAAGATTAGACCAGCTTACGCTAAATCTCCTCCGATAAGAAGCAAGTCTCCACGTGGAAGAGCATACATGGGACTATCAGTCTTAAGCTGAATCGAAGGTTGGGCTAATAATCGAGCCACTGCATATGACGAATTTCCACCATCCCCTGTGTCTGCAACAAAATCAAACCATAGCTCATCTCTTTCATTAAGGTGGTCGTACAGCAGATCACCATCTTTAGCCTCATCGGGAACTTTGTTCATTGCAGCCTGGTTCCATCATAATGCATAAACTTGTGAGAAAGAAAAGAGTTTTAACAAGCACGGAGCTCAGATTCAAGAGGAACATTTTTAAAGGGAAAATTGCATACATACTAAATTAAAAAATAATGAACTAATCATGAGAAGTAGATTAAGACAAGAACAAAAAATTTGTGATGTCATAATCTGTTATAGAAGTTGTAGTTTACTTGAAACTTGGTCAAGTTGACCCAATTAGTTGATTCATATGAGTATATCCCATTGGACTCATTACCAACCCAATCAGTCTTTGCATTATACTATAAACATCGATCGCAGGGGTAGCAGTCAACTGCAAAACATAAAATAATGCACTTGACGTCACATCAATTTGAAAGTTGAAGAGTTATAAATTTCTCAAAAGTCAAACCTTAAAATGAAGACTGATAATTCAAATTAATGGATATGAGAGTATACTGCTCGATTATATTCTAGTAATTTGGTTTCCAATCACTTACTTGGTCACCTCTGTCATTTAATCTATCTGCAAAGGTTTATACACTGATATCAAATTTGTTGTTTGCCGAAATAATTTTTCTGACATAGTTTTATGCATTCTGTTACCCAATCTACGTGCCACTGCTACACGTTTAAAAAAAATAGATGAATCAATGCACATGGCTTTCACCAATGCATTTAGCCGAGGTTTCTTCCGCAATTTCAAACTTTGGCCACCCAGCTAGCAGTGGATATTTGCATCATGGTTCACCTTACCGGTCCGTACCAGTGTATCAACCAGCCATCGATATGGTACATGCCGTACCGATATACCGATATATGACACGGTAGGACATACCAACAAACTGATATGTACTACTCGTACCAATCTCTTATCGGACCGGTACATACCGCCCATACCGAGCGGTATGCTGAGGTACGGCAAACCTTGCTTTGCATATCATTTAACATTTTTCTTGGAAATGATGGCTTCAAATAAGTCAATACAACCACATGTGCTCCAAAGTTTCTTTTCTCAATTTTCAGCCTGTGGTACAAAGTAAACTTAGTGAAGTATAGCATACCACATTTGGGAGAAACAGTAAAGGCCAAGTCTCATCTGTATCTAATAAATTTGGCAGAAAACAGATACTGTGAAATCATATATCACTTGTAAGCTAACCTGCATCATGCGCATATCAAATCGACCAACAAAAAGGGTTACAGATACCAATAGATCAAACATTGTCTTGAATAAATCTGCTGATGTCCTGTAAAATGCATCAATAACCAAGGTAACATCTTTGTTAGGATCTCAAATCGGAAAATCTTTCATATTTAAGAAAATCTCACCCTGAATACCAAGGAACCATATCCAAGAAATCAGGTTTCATCTGTTTTTTCAACCTTTCATACTCCGAAAGTGACAGAGGATGAGTTAAAGCCCATCTGTTAAGCATGGATGTTGTGTTAGTATAAGCTAAGAAAGAAGAGTGAAACCAAAAAAGCAGCATCAACACTTAAGTAACAAAAGTTGTCCAGCATCAAACGGCCATGACAACCACCAGCTTAAGATAGTTTGATAAATATGGGTCAATGAGCACAATGACTAATGGAGATCAAGGAGTCAAGCAAGTTTCAATATACTCATTAGGCAATTCATATATTTCTGGATCAAAAGTAGACCTAATCTGAGAAAGGTTCTATTAATGCAAGGCCAAGATCCTGTAGACTAAATTTGTTCCTCCAGAACTTTCTAGAGATAACAGATACATTAAGACATACCCAGTTGATCGCTCCACAACATAGTTAGCTATGTAGAGGCCAATGAATGTTGCCCATAAAGAATATAAAGGGGAAATTTCATCTGAGGGACCAGCACATGATCCACTGCAAACTAACTGGAGAAATGCATGATTAGTGCAATTGGAAGTTGAAACAACAGAAATATTTGAAGTTTGAACGAAAAGTTGAGCATATTTTTCACATAAAATCATTATACCTCCCCATAAATTACCCACTTCGATAGAAGAGGGTAATCACTGGCAGATCCAACTGGAGCAAACCAAGATGAGCATATTTGATCTTTTAACTCATATATATGGAGAAAGTTTGAAAGCCAGCTGTTCCCATCTTCACTTTTCATAAATAACATGGAATACAAAGAATTTCTTTGGTCCAAATATTTGTCTCTTTGAATAGCACGATTACCACAATGGCTATAAAAAACACAGCACGCGATACTTATAACCTGTACTAGGGAAAGAGGCAACACCAACCAAGTTTATGTCATGCAGAATTTTAAATAGAACACTTCACAAGTTGATGACTAGAATATGAAAAGTACATACGGCACAGTTTTGGATAATGGTGAAAAATTCAGGTCTCTTTCCTGCTACACGAGCAACAATCCCAACATACCAAAGGCCAAGAAAAATAATATGGAAGGCAGTAAGGAATACAACTGATGAAACATATATTGTGAGAAATAAAGAGAGATTCATTCTCAAATCCACCCCCATAGACTGAAAACTAGGAAGATGGTAAAGAGCTGCAACAAATGTCCAAACAACATACCTGCAACATGATTAGATTGCTGAAGTGTAAGACACTCGAATATATAAAGCTATGTTACAAATCAATCAAAAGATGAAAAGCAAATTTTGCCCAAGAAGAAAAAACTACATACCAACGGCTAAAGTTGGAGTAACTTGGTTTAATTGTCTTCCCAATAAATGGGGATGAAAAGAAATAGAAGAACCCAATCAAACAGAGGTACATAGACCACCACTTAACATTACTATCCAGTTTCTGTATGAGGGTATGCATGTTATCGGACGAGATGAAGAATAGACATCCCACAACTACTGCCATAATAGTATGCCTTGAATGTTCATGTGGATAAGGATATGCTGGATTCAAGATTGTACTAACTCTCTCCATTTTAAGTGTATCCAGCAATGGGCTCATAGATTGCTTATTATTTCCCATCAGATAATCATTTTGCACTTCAAATTTCTCCAAACACTTCATACATTTGCCAACAAATAAAGAGAATGCAACATCTTCCACATAATCACCAAACAGCAAGTTTAGTCCTGTACAGAGAATACCCAAATGAATGATAAATACATGGCAACAAGGAAATAAACCAAGAAGTATAAACTCTATCTATTTCCTCCAGAAAATATAATTTTACCAACAAAATACTATTCCAAATAATAACAAATGCATAAGCATTTATGTCATAGAAGGTGAATTATTAAAGAAATAAAATCCTAATTTCTTGATGCATGTCAGACTGTTCTTAAGACCTGCACAATAAGCAGCTTCAGAATGTTTCATATTCCACTGTTATACTGGTCATAACACGTTTCGGAAATGACAGTGGTTCAGTCAGCAATAAACAGCAAGCAAAACCGCCTTTGACCGATAGATGAAACCACATTTGCCAGAAACTGACAAAACTGCAGAATAACATGTCCTAAGGAGCACAGAACTCAAGCTATAAAAAGGAAAGTAAAGTATGAATTACAGAATCAAACACTGATGAGGAAACTGTTGATTGTACTTAGAGAGCATCAGTTTTGATTTCGTCACGATCTTACTGAGGGAGATAGAGCTTTCAACTCCTGTGGCATGCTCAATCGAGTGCCTTACACTCATGTTCTAAGATCAATAGACACCCTTACAACCATGAAGTATGCAACAAAACTATGATTTAAGGAAAGCTTCCAATTGAAGGTTTTCCATGCCAGGTGCTTCAGAGAACTAAAGGAAGCTTCTCTTTACTTGGGAGTTTTGGACATACACTAAAATCGTCAAAGAGAAAAATGGCCTGCAATCGAATCCAAGTTGCACAATTCTTCAAAGACCATCTGCCACTAAATATATTATTCTAGCCTCCTAGACTACCAGAACAATGACTAACTTGCATCAGCAATAAGCAAGCACACTCCAAGCTCAACCAATCCAAGTGAGATGCATAAAAAAGAACACAAAATTTTTAACATGCTCCTCGATCTCCAAAATAGAAAGAGCATTCTGCCTCCTGACGCTAAACACGTTAAAAACTGCTTAACTAGATGATCTAATTGAATTTTGGCAAGAAAAGAACCAACCACCAAGATAAAGGAAAATCAATCATGACTCTCTTGTTGAACGTAATGCCAAAACTCATCCAATAATAACAAATCCCTATAAAGAAGCGCGACGCCTTGCATCGTCTCATCCATAAAAAGAAAAATGCATGCGGAATGCGTCATCTACACGCTTGATCAAGAATCCTAAACGGAAACCGATCAAGAATACAAGAATGACCCCAAAAAAAGCGAGAAAAGGGACATATTCTAATTTTTGAGAGCGGGGGCAGGGAAGAATACCAGAGAGAAGGGAACGGAGATGGAGATGGAGATGGAGACGGAGGAGGAGAGGCGGTGGGAACGAGAGGGCGTCCGGTTTGGGAATCACGCGAATAGTTTGGGGTGGGAGGGAACTGCAAGCGGCATATGCTCCAACACATACGCGGCCATAAGGTACCGATGCCTTATGCCAACCCAAACACCAGTCGCCGGTTCAAACCCCCCTTTTCCATTTCTATCCTCCCACAAGCCTTGAAATACCATATCTGCCCTGTAACTGTAACTTGTAATATTAACATTAAAAAATATCTCATGTAAATACCAACCCATCATAATTAAGTAATTTGATTTTTGCTACTATCTCACAATGTTCTAATTATTTAATTATATAAAAATAAGGTTATTTAAATAATTTGAAATTTCCTAGCACAATACTAAAATATTCTTTAATAGTATCAACCAAAGACTCTTATCAACTGGTGAAGTTTAATTGTCATTTAAATAATTTGGATAAAATATTATTTAATTGTAGTAACCAAAGTCTCAATTTTTAATTTTTTAAATTATTATATATATAATGTAAAATTCAGTAATTTGGAAGGGATATATAGATATATTCAACTTTATTGTTTTTATTATTATTATTAATGAAAAGGAGGGGGTAACATGGTGCACATGTTCTGAGATCCATAACAAGAGCTTCTTGGACCAAGTCATCACATATCTCATCTCCTCTTTTATTTTCTCCCTTTTCTTCTCCTCTTTTATTTTCTCATGGTGCATATAGGTATCAATACATAGATAGGGAATGATGAATTGCTCTCAAAACATGCAGTCAATAAATACCTTCTAAGGGAGATGGGTGTATCAAACTAATAATATACATAACCAAAAAATGTGCATGGCAAATTAGTGGAAGTGGTCAGATGAATGATGAATTAGGTTACCCGACGCAACCAAATTAGTGGAAGTGGTCAGTTGATTTGATTTGATTGAAGACTCTGTGGCAGCAAGATATGTGTGGTTGGGCTTCAAAACGTGAGTTGTGTTGGTCTCGGATTCTTTACTTACATGGCCAAACCATGTACCGGAGTCGGATGAAACAATGGGTGCCGTTGTAAGGAGTGATAGTACTTACTGGGTTTGCAGGAGTGATCTCACTAAAAATACTTGTGTGACCACTTCGGTCCTCAGGAATATGTTCCTCGGAGAATGTGGCACTGAATGTGAAAAAAGTGTTAATTTTAGAACAGATGGAGTTCTTAGTTGTCTAATGGATTTCTATATGAATCTATAAATGTAAATTAAGTGGAGGATGAAAGAAATTATTAATTTAAGTATATAGAGCTTATAAAATATGATAATTATATTTTTTTTTGTAATTAATAATAAATATAAAATATTTATCTAAATCATTTCACATAATGAAAGATATCACGTTGAGATCATGATCCTTATTATTGATATAATCATGATAATATTTTATCATAATTTTTATGATTTAAATTTATTATAATATATTATCAAAATATTGAGAGGATCATGATAATCTTAGTATGATTTATTTTCCTCAATAATATCCATCTTATTATGCTCCCGTAAGATTGTGCTCTCGAGGAAATCGACTTTCGACCAAATAGAAGGAATTGATGGTGAGATAAAGACTTGATAAGAGCATTTGCAATTTGATTAAAAGATGAGACATGAGAGATATGTAACTCATTATTTTTTGAACTTTGTTATGAATAAAGTGAAAATCGATAGTTATATGCTGAATGAAAGTGAAATACATGAATAGCATATAGATATATTGTCCCGATATTATCACAATATATAGATAGAGGATCATAGAATATAACAAATAATCCATATGGCAATGATTGAATCCAACAAAGTTTATCGATTATAAGAGCAATCGCTCGATATTTAACCTTTGTAGAAGATCTTATAATAAAGCATTATTTCTTAAAAGTCAAAGAAATTAGATTATGACTAAGAAGTATAACATAAGCACTAGTTGATGTCTTGTTAACCTTAGTACCTGCCCAATCTGTATATAAAAATGCATGAAGCAACAAAACAATCTTTCAAAGAAATAAGTCATGATCAATAATACTCTTTAAGTACCGGAGAAGATGTTCAACGATTGTCCAATAGTTGATAATATGCTTATATATAAATTGAGATAATTTATTTACTATATATGTAATGTTAGAATGAGTGAATATCAAATATTATATATTACCAATAATTTGACGATACTAATTAACACTATTAGATAAGAGGAACACTTGTAGAGATTAGTATAGAAATAGTATTAGCTTTAGCATTATGGGGCAAATAAAAAAAACTTATTTTTAAATTATTGAATAAACTAATTAATTATTATTAGATTATTACTAGTAATAATTAAGTCATATACGTAAACTAATAGAAATATGATTATACTCTCATAAAAATAAATGAATAATGAATTATTAGATTAAGAAATAAAATCTAATTAAGACTAGATACGATACTAAATATGTTCAATGTTTATGATATTGAGATGTCTACTTGAGACTATAAAGAGCCTTGCGTGACTTACATACATGTTGGGGAATATTCTAATCAATAAAGTCTGAAGGTTACATAATAAATATATCCTTGAAAAATATGATGATGAAACAAATTATTGTTTGAACTAAAAGTGTCATTGTACTCCAGGCATTTAGATATTAATGAAATTCTTTTATAATAAGTCTTATTTTATATTTATTAATAGACCCATTAAGATTTCGTTTGATACGAAAAACTCATTTGCATGATATAAAATTTTGACTTTGATGAGATGAGATTAAGTCTCATATATCATTTCTTAATAAATCATTATATTTTTCAACCATTGTTGCTCACTATTTTAAAATTTTTAAAGCTTAGTTGATTATATAAGGTTCAAAAATAAAATTTCGAGATAATTTTATGAAAATAAAAATATATGTTTGGTTTAAAGATTTAATTTTTGGATTTAATAATCATTGAATTAATTGGTATAAGGTCAATGACATCTTTAGGATGTGTTGGACAACAAAAACTTAAAATAGGGGATATTAAAATCAAACCTTGCTATGAATTTTCTTGATATGTGACACTTTTAGGAGACAACCGGATAGATAAAGTAATATGTTGTTCATTATACACCGTTAAGAAAGGACCCTTACAAAATTAACATAATAAGAAATAAAAATTCTTTTGGTTAATAGATCAAAATATTCAAAGACACTTTGATTACTAGAATATCTAAGAAAAACATATGATTTTGATCGGGCATTCAATTCATTATGGGTATAAGGTTTTAACTATAGATAATATAGACACCCAAAAATATAATTTTCTATAATTATGAGTGAATCTAAATAATTTTTTAAATTATAAAACTCTGTGGAGAATTAGAGTAGGTTGTGATTAATAAGATAAGTTGATGTAACAAATGTAAAAGACTAAAATTAAAGAGTTAATGAAGCTTGAGTAAGGAGTGTAGATAATGTGCTAATGATGACATTCCATGGTCCTATCATTTTCAAATCCCTCCATGAGATGTGCTCTCGTGTTGATATCTTTCACAGCAAATAAAGAGGGTAAGAATTTAATAAAAATATTATTAGAATAATATAATTTTAAGATAAATATTAGATTTTTCTTGATATTAGGAACACAAATAATATCATAGAGTAAAAAAGATTTTGATAAAAGGTTTGTAGAATCAGTATGAGTTATTTTGAGACATTTTCTGTCACATATCATGATATCATTTAAACCATCATAATATAAAAGAGAAGAAAGATTATTAAGTCAATTATGACATGATGAAAAACCCCATAATCAACTGGCTAGTTTGATGAAGGTTGAAATGATTGAACAGCAGATTGAGCAAATGACAATGGAAATAAAAACTGAGTATATAGTATAGTAGCATATATAGAATATGGTAGGTATAAAGGTTGAAATATTAATTGAATAGAAGCTTACAAACGATGATATTTCTTAGTAACATGGCCTTACATGTTACATATTTAACAATTAACTTTATTATTTAATTATGATATTATTCATATCATCTCCATAATTATTATTTAGATGATTGTTTTACTAGTTGTAGATTTTGTTTTTGTTGTTAGAATTAGTTTTGTTAGTAAAATTGATAGTAATAGAAGCAATATTAGAATGTGATGACTTTCACTTAAATTAAGATTCATAAAGCTTATTATTAAGTTGTTCAAAAGATATAGGACTATCATAAACACGAATTACATTCAAGATCTTCTTGTAATATGAATCAAGACCATTTTAATATATAAAAATAATATTTTTATTATCAAGATATCCATCAACCATAGCAAATATATCTATTTTAGTTTTAATAGTCTGCATATAGTCAAAAATAAATTTTATACCCTTAGAAATTTTTAAACTTGCATCACATCTTATGAGAGGCTTTCATAGAGGTTAAGTAGGAAATGATTTGAGGAGAGCAAGGTAACGATAATACTTCTAAGAAAATGATCTTGATGGATCCAAAAAACACGTTAAGGATGGATAATTTTGAGATTATTCCCTCTAAACATTTATGAAAAATAAATGATGGTATCATCTATATAACCCATAAGATCATTAAAAGAGAATAAAATTGAGTATACGAAGGGATATAGTTTATGAGCATGAGTTTGAGATGATGTTGAACTTTTAAAGTTAACGGAGATAAAAATATTTTCAATAGCATAAAAATTTAGAATGACATGACGTGAGTGATTAATTAAAGAAGTATTACTAATAATGTCAAAAAAAATATAAAAAAATCCAAAACAACTTTTTAAAAAAAGATTGATTTATTAGAGTATAAAGTTGGATGAATCGGTGCATAATGGTCCATTGTCGATTGAGATAATCTCTATTGTTCCTTGGATAGTTTTCAAAGAGAATACACTTAAAAGGACAATATCTATGCGCCTATATATATATTTTAAGATGTTAAATAATTTAATCGTTAAAAACCTTATAGAAAGAACGGCAAAATCTTAATGAACACAAATTAATTATATACAATTTCAAAGGAATATTGTATACGACCTCGTGGTATCCACTGTGTGGTAATGGTCGTAGAGATCACCTGTCTCAGTCAAGGCGGGAAACAATGTTTTCGACTAGCGTGGTTGGACGCGTGCATCTAAATTTCGACTCCTGCAATGGAGTGTGACGTGGATTTTGTTGGAGAGCGGTAAAAAATCCTGGCGCCTGACTTGCACGAGACATGCAAGCCCCACCAACCAATGTGTTGAGGGGAGAGCCCCGCCGCCGCCGTCGCCTCCTAATTCTTCTCCTTACATCTCGCAATCCCGATTTCCAGTTCCAGCGATAGATAGGGCAAAGATGAAGGCGACGGTGAAGGGCCGGTACGAGGTCGACAAGAGCGTCGCCACCGCCACCCTCGCCGTGCATGCCGGCGACGCCCGCCTCAAGACCTCCTTCACCGACGCCACCTTCGCCGGCGGCCCCTCCCTCGAAGGCCTCGTCCTCTCCGTCGAGAAGCCCGGCGCCTTCATCCTCGACTACAACGTCCCCAACAAGGCAACGACTCTCGCCCCCTCCGACGATTTAAGATCGCCATTTCTTGAACCTATTGACCGGATTTTTGTTGCTTTCCCCGACCAGGATGTGAGGTTTCAGTTCATGAACTCGTTCAAGGCGGTCGACAAGACGGTGAACTTGACCTACACGCATGCGAGAGCGGCTAACCGGACGGCGCTGGACGGGTCGCTGGTGTTCGATCCGGCGAACAAGGTATCGATGAACTATGCGTTCGGGTCGGGGAACTGCAAGGTAAAATATTGGTACGCGCACGGCGAGCTGAGACGCTTGGTGTTGGAGCCGTGCTATGATGTGTCGAAGAACGCGTGGGATTTCGCCTTGACCAGGAAGTTCGAGGGTGGTGATTCCCTCAAGGCGACCTACCAGACCACGACTAAGAATCTCGGATTGGAGTGGAATAGGGACTCCAAGGACAGCTCATTCAAGGTAATCTGTGACCAACTTACCAAGTTTTTATGCTGGTTTAGTTGTTCTTGAAGTGGAATTGATAAATACATTTGATCTTTGCATAAACTAATTTGTATGATTCAAATGTTGCCATATTATCTGAATTATAGACCATACTTCTATGACATATTATATCTGCGTTGTTTGATCATTGTTGATGTCCTTTATCGTCACTAAAGCTTTAGCAGCTTCTTTGCTTGTGCCAAGCTCCCTTTCAAACCTGAATTCAGTAATTCAGTTAATACTGGATTTGAAATTTTATTTTACTTGTTGAAAAGACTAATCGAAACCTGAATTCAGTGCTTCAGTTAACACTGGATTTGAAATTTGATTTTACTCGTTGAAAAGACTAACCAAGATTATCAAATGGAGCTCTTTTTTTAATCCAGTAAAATTTAAACTAATTCCTTTATATTTCTTTGGTGCATCTAATTGTTTCCTTGTGAATTGACTTGTTTTTCAGCTTTATCAGTAGGATTCATTAGCTTCAGAGCCTACTTATAGATCCACTCTGTCTTATTTCAACAAAGTTGTCATCATGCTTGTTTCGATCTTTGGTTCCCATCATCATAATTCTCATCCCTTTATGTGGGTGTTTGGTCTTCCTTGCTTTGTTTTTACATCTGCTAATTTAAGCATTTGACCTTTTGCACCTTGTCTAACATGGATGATTGCAGTTTCCTTCTTAAGGGATCCTTTCCTTGAAGAACAAATATGGGTGATATGTTGATTAACACTTAAACAATTTGATATTCTGAAGGGTTTTAGATCAAAGAATCCCTGAGGGAATCTAGATTGATAGTAACAACAGATTTGTCTTCAGTTGAGGTCCCGAGGGAGGTGCTAATTGTAACCATTGGTTATGACTTCTTGTTTCAGTTCAACATTGGTAAAATTGGCAAGCTTTATAATTAAACAATGGTTCTTCAAGGGCTTTTAGTGGCATGTTCTAAAATACTCATGGTTTTCATTTCAGTTATACTGCTGCATACTTTTTGGTTCAACTTAACTTAGCTTTTCTTCTATCCAATTTGTCCTCAGTCTTAATGCTTTGTGATTGATCTGGTCCACCATTCATATGTTTGTTTCACCAATTTATTTTAAATGTATAATTTCACCTATGCTTATTACCTTGATGCGATATAATTAGCTTCATATGTTCTCAATTAAGTGTCAACTTGAAGATCTTCTCAACTAGGCTATATTATATATCACCTCTTTGTTATAACAAATGGTCAAAAAAATAGAAGTGTCTTTATAGCCAAACTGGCAATGATCAATTCCTCAAATATTTTTTCATGTCAACACTGCATTACAACATGACCTTGACTTCGTTTCTTGCAATTTGCTTCACTAAATTATGGCCTGCTTTGGTCAGTTTTGCCTCAATAAAATGAATGCCTAATCTGTTAAACATATCAAGCAAGAAGGTTCTGTAGGTTGCTATTTGATCAGGATGGAACTTTGCATTCATGTCTCCACAAAGATAGGTGTTTATGACTTGAAACCCTGTTTAAGCAGAACTAAAGGAAATATTAGTTACAGTAAGATGCTAATTGTCCTCTAAACACATTGACCTCCATAGATTTCCCCATTTTGCTGTAGGTGTAAGCCACTAGTGCCCCAGCTAATTTGTTATATTGTACCTTATCATGGTCCCTTGTCCTTGATCCTAACCTTGGTCTTAGTCTTGACCCCAACACTGATCGACCTTTGGTTGATTCTGACACATGTTGTTGGATGGTAAACTTTAAAACTTAGTATAGTTCTTTATGTTATTACTTTATAACATGAATTGTTTCTCTCTTGTCTCTTGAGTCTTGAGGCATTTCTGAATTCAAAATCTTATGGTCATAGAAGACTCTGTATATTGCTCTGTATGTGTCTATGATGTAGGATAATCACTCTGATACTGATATGATGTAGGAGGAAAGCATAGATGACAATGATAAAAAAATAACTACTAGATCCATTCTAGCTCAAAGATTAAATCTCATGGGTTAAAGGTGTTGCACCTTCATACGTTACACACATGTACGATGAGCTCACACTATCAGGAATGTGATCTTTCTTATTGATATATTAAGTATATTAATTATTTCTTACATCCTTTTCTGGGGTGATATATTTTCATATTTGTCTTTTTAATTAATCTTTCTTATTGATAAGATATTTGATTGGTAGCCTTCATTCTTTGCAAATTCTTCAATTATGATAAGACTTTATTTTATGGATGGAACCTTTAAACAACCTTTGTGATCTCCAATTAAGCCTAGGATTTGTCTCCTTTTTTTGTTTATCTTCTTTTTTCTTCTCCATAGGCAATCACGGTAGCAAATGCAAAATCAAGAAGTTGTTTCCAATCAGCAACTTGTCACATTTGCAAAAGATAAGTTAAATTAGTTAAATTTATTAAAGAAAAAATAAATTAAAATGGTCTCGCATCAGTATTTTTTTTCACTTTTTTTTATCTTGTATTACTGGTAGCTAAGCATTTGTTTATGGCAATAGTAATAGGATCAGAGATGGGTATAGCTATGGTCATAATTCAGAAAATCATTCAGTTGACTTGAAACTCAACTTGCTAAGATTTCTAGTTGACTCATGGTGAGACGATCAGCTTCTTGAGACTCGTCCAAGTAATCTGTATTGGTTTAATGCATTAGAATTGCATCATGCAAGGGTTTTTCTTTTTCTTATTTATGTTTGAGGAGTAATATTTTTCTTTGATGCAATATTTCACTATCATTTTTTTTCCTGCAGATTTCAGCATCATTCAATTTGGCAGAGCAACAGAAGTATCCAAAATTAATGGCTGAGAGCACTTGGAATTATGAAATATGAGCTTGTCGCAGTGGTTTCTCTCGTGTCGTACTTTCTATTGTTTTTTACAGTCAAATAACAGTAGTTATACAACTCATTATGTTTAATTCTGTAACTTTATTTCGATCAGGTAACATTTGGATAAGCAATCAAAATTACTGCAACAATTCTGAAACTGGTAACAATCAATTTTTGTTACCAGTTTTGTTATCAATTGGTAAATTATCTTGTATATTGTCTATACTATAAAAAGTTATTAATGTTATTTACTTTCATAGGGTAAAAGCATTGCTATGGTTACTCAATCCCGGTAATATGTATGTTATTACTGTGGTTGAATAACAGCAGCAATACATGGACTACTACTATGGTTGTCTTTTACAGGATAAAAATATTGAATAATTATATTAATAATTGAATTATTACTGTAATTTTTATTACTATGCTTAGTAATCAAGGTGATATATGAACTATTGTTGTGATTTTCATTTACAGGGAAAAACATTTATTGTTGTGTTTTGTGTTATTACAATAATATATATATATATATATATATATATATATATATATATTATGGGTATAAAATCTATAGTAATATCTTTTTGAGGTCTAATTATATTTTATTTCTTGTAGTTAGTTACCACTAGCATTTTGATTCTTATAATTTAAAAAATTATATTGATGTCTTTATAATTATGAAAGTGAAACATTTAGGTTTATTTATCGTAACGACATTAGTTTTATCGATGAAAATATGAAAACAGAGGGTAAAAAGATAATTTTAATGTTCGGTGACGGACGGTGTCGGAGGTGGTGGTAGACGATGGTGTCGTTGACGCCAACGCAGATGGTGGTTGCATCATTATTAACTCGTTAGGCAGATCCCAGCCTTAACCCAAAGTTGGGGTCGTTGGAGCTTCGGTCGCTCCCCTCACTATTGCATCAATTCCGGTATCACCTCTCATTGAGCGACTCTTTCGTTGTTTTGCATCTGTGTCGGTGCAGTTGTCGAGCGACAAAAGGTCCGTTTGAAATTTGCATCAATATCGACACAAATGCAGAGCAGTACCACTTGACAACTACACCAATGTCAATACAAATGAAGTGCCAACGCAGATGCATATGTCAAGTGATGTCGCTCTACATCTACGTCAATGTTGATGCAGATACCAAGCAGTCCTTTCGCTATTCAGCAATTACATCGATGAAAGCGTCACTCGACATCTGCATCGACGTCGACGCAGATGCAAAGGGGGAGGGGTCAAGGTTGGAATTGATCCAACAGGTTAGTGACAAGGTAGCCACCATCTTCGTCGTAAACGCTATGGTGGCCACCACCATCTGTGTCGACGTCGATGTAATTGTCGCTCGACAAATGCGTCGACACGCTCCTTGTGAATGCAAGTGGCATCACGATGAGAGCAAACTTTATCATTATCAGAGGCGGTCATGCAAGTATATCAACATCGACGTTGTCTGCCATCGTCGACGCAAGTGGTATGGTCGTCCATCACCATGATTTCTTTTCTTCATCATTGACATCTCATTCTTCTCTTCTCCACACTGCCCAAAGCTTCTCAGTTAATTCATGACATATTTCTTCTCCTACGAAGTAACCTAAAAGGATCTGTTTTGTCTATTTTTAGGGGGATTAAATAAATATTTTCTTATCTTAGATTAGGAATAAATATTTTCTTATCTTATATTTTGACTTCGAATTATCTATCTGTCTTGGGAAGACTTTCTTTGAGTATGTATGGTGAAGCAAGATCATGAACTACGATGATATATCTTACTTGAAAAGCGGATTAGGTCAAATCAAAATCGACATAAGATTGACCTCACGAGAAAGGATATATCGTCCACCCTGTAAAATCCCAGTGCAAAAATGAATCTGCGAATCCAAGATTCAGATTCTAGAGAAGATTGATTCAGAAGAAGAAGAAGTAGTTTCAGACGACCAGTCTCAATAAGATCTCCCTCAAGCTTGACGAGATGAGCCCGGTAAACTACAATGATATATCTTAACTTGGAAAGTGGATTAGGTTGGATCAAAATCGACCACACGAGAGGAAGGATATCACTCATTCAATGCAATCTTACATCCCATGGAAAAAAGAACCATTAAGTTCCAAAAAAATCCAAAAATAAATCTGCGAATCCAAAGATTCAGATTCAGGAGAGGACTATGAAAACTTACTGCCCATCGCTCGGATTAACATCGGAATAGATAAGAATTACTTTGATTGGACGGCAGTGCAATTTGTTCCCTTTTCTCGTGTTGATCGGACAGCAGTGCACTCAGCCCTTATTGGTGCGAATATGCAGCAATGTATGATGCGGCTTGCGATAAGGCATCGACAGCACACGGCAATTGATGGAATGAGTTGACTCAAGATTTGACTACAGAAGCGTGGATTCGGAAGCAAATCATTCATCGTACCACCATCATCACCATATCAGGGAAGAATCCACTGGGAATCCATAGAATAGTTTATTCCTTTGATTCATACGTACATCGATGCCTTGCTTATCGCAAGCGCAAGATATAAGCCTTCCATTTCGTGGAGAAACTCAGGCTCCGATCTCTGCAGCTGGTCATGGCATGGACACTGGAGGAGGAGGTGCGGCTGCTGCGGGCGGCGCTGGAGATCGCGGAGGAGCCGGTGGAGTCCTTCGACCCCTCGGTTTCGTTAGTGGGGAGGATCAGGAGGGCGGTGAAGAGGTCGTTCACCGACGACGAGATCCTCGCGAAGGTCAAGCAGCTGAGGAGGAGCTACGAGGAGAGCTGCTCCGTGATCCGGAGCGGGATGGCCGTCGGAGTTGGCGACGCGGCCGTGTTCGAGATCAGCGGCAGGATTTGGGGTGGAGCGCGCGACACGGCCGTGACGACGACGACGACTGTTGCGAAGAAGATGGTGACTAGCTCGATAGTGATGTATTATAGGAGGAGACTTAAGAAGCCGAACATGAAACAACAGTGTTGATGCTAAGGTTTTCTCTCTCCCTCTTCCTTTCTCTCTCTCCGTAGTGATGAAGAAACTGGTGGAATTCTGTACGTATCAGAGAAGTTTTGGGCTCGGATTCAATCTCAGGCCATGGATTTCCTTGCAAACATGAAAATTTCATACTCATTTGGACTTCATCCTGCAACAAAATGCACACAGATTCAATTCAAAAGTTGAGAGTTTCACTTTCATTGATGTATCTGTATCGGCATGGAAGAAGAAATGGAACAGCAATGTGTAGGGCGTAATCCATAAACATACAGCCTCTGTTATACAATTACAACTAAAGAATATTATTGCCCAGCTGAGGCTGTCCTAAGTCATCATGCCAAGATGATCAACCTGTTTAGAAGAGGATCAAAAATGTTGCGTGCAACATTTATGCTGGTCTGGATTCAGTAATACAACACAGGATGAACAAATAAATACAAGAACCAACCATTGAATTAACCGTCTTTTACGACTCTCAAGATATGAAGCAACTAGTAGTCGGCAGTCGCTCATTTGTTGGAAATGAGGGCCAAACATGGTGCTTTAGATGGTTGTTTAAAATTTCTGATGCATGCATGAGAACCTGCAACTCAGATGAATGCATGATTACAACAATGGATCCAACTGAAGAATTCCCACGACATTTAAATGAGTTCACCGATAAGGGCAGCTTTCTTCAACAACAATCTCTATATGTTTAATAAGTTGATCTGAAGACAAGCAGAGAACATACATAAGTTGCTAGGTCGGATATTCTTCGTATCAAATAAACCCCCTACCGATATGCCAGACGTTATGCGTTCTACTTGCCACTATGCGATAAGTTGTGGCTATCACCTGCCTACAAAATCAATTTCTGATGATAGTTGTTGCTCCTTTGAAGAAACCAGTTTGGCGCTTTCTCGGTCTCGCCTAAATACAATGTAAAGGGGACTGTAAAACAAGCAGCACAAACCAAAAGGAACGATGGTCATCATAAATAGACCCCTCGAGAGTGCCAATGCTCCTTCAGCAGAGCCACCAACTGACTTGAGCGACTTTGAATCGTAGCCATAAATCTTCTCAGTAAGGATACCTACTGCTGGTGCTGCGAATGAGGAGAATGATCCTTCAAATGCACGGTCGAAAGCATAAATCATGGTACGGTGCTTTGGGGGGACAACCTCGGCAAACATGGGGTTGTTGGCACAGGAAGCACACCAGCTGATTGTGAGGCCCATGAGGAGTAGGGTGGCAGCAAAAGCGTTCCAGTTGTTCACAGATGGCCGGATCCCAGTAAGAAGAATCCATGAAAAGGGAATACCCATGAAGGCACTGAACTGAGCACACATAACTCGGCCTGAGTCTGGATAGTACTTTGACAATCGATCAGCTATCATCCCCCCAAGGAAGGAACCCATAGCACATCCAATGGCGAAAAGACTGTTTAAGGCAGCTGAGCTGTTATTATCAAACCCTGAAAGATAAGATTAAGATGTATCGGATTAGAAAGTAACAAGTTATCTTGTCAAAAATTCAAAATTCATATACTCAACAAAGTTCTAAAGGATACTTAGAATAACAGATCATATGTAAATATTTTATTATACCTATCAGTTCAAACCACATTGTGAAGAAAACCATTGCTGTCCAAGGTAGTGAACCAACAATTCCCTGCAAGACAATGATTTGAAATGTCTTGACTTTCATTACAGATCTCATTGCCAACCAGGAACTGCTCCAGATCGAGGATGGAGGTACAGTACTTTTCATTATCAGGTTAGCCCTGGAAAAACGAGCATAGATTACACACAATTAGAAGATCAACTAGTAAACCAGTTTGATGCACTAGTTAAGTCCAGTGTATTTAGAATCACTAGTAATCATCAAAATGTTGGTAGAATTGGTGTGAAATATATGCAGATCATTCAGAAAATAATCACTACAATCTTAGATTCAAATGACAAGGAGACATAAACTAATCATAAAATTGATTATTAATACTCCAAGTGTGAACAATATATGAATATTATCAGAGAATGGGTCAAAAGATGGATCAACAAGAATTATGTTCTCAAATGTCTTAGGAACCAGGCAGAAGAACAGAAAAATATATATGAACCATGTTTAAATATTAAGGCAAATCACCTGTTTCAGGATCAGAAAAGGTCATATTTAAATTTAGGTTAGTTATTGAAGTAGTAGTAGCCCCTCCTATAAATGGGAATATAAATAAAAGTAATAACACCCTGTT